AGATTTCCTTCAAACAAGATTCAGTATTTGGAATATTTTGTAAATAATTTGCCTAATTTTAAGTTATTAAATCTTGGTAAGTTTCATAACATTTGCACTTTCAGATGGAAAAATAGGGCTTTTTATCATTAACTTAAGACTTTGCCATTTCATGTTTTAGAATGTGAGATTTTTCCCCAAAGCGATCAAATGTGATTAAATCTAGTTAGAAAGCATATTCTCTTTTGCATCTTTGAGCCTTGAGAGTCACTATTTGACTCTTTGGGATGAATTTTGCCATCTGGAAAATATATGATAGAAGTTAGTGATAGAACCGTTCTGTTTTCGAGCCAACATGAATTCTGTTACACAGTTCTGTTGTAGCTTTAAGTTAAACATAAGTAAACTTTAAGAGGAGACGAGAATTCTTATCTAGTGGGAAATGATTTGGATAAAACTGTGGCTGTAATTATCCATTATTTTTACTGAGGTACATCCCTAAAGCTCAGTGAATATTGACCAAAACCAAGCTCCGGTGGTGCCGTTGGAACTTCTTATTTCTTACTCACATTTTTCCCACGATGTTTCTTTTTTGAGGTGTTCTTTTACAATGAGGAGGGTCTAAGGCCTGTGATGATCCGGGACATTCAAGGCCAGTGGTCACATACTAATGGCTCCTGTGTTTTTGCTAATATTGCATTTCTTGTGTTTGAACTGTTTTATTCTCTAATCTGTTGTTAGCAGCTTGACAACTTTTTTCTGACATGACTGCTGTTGCGATCTGGGGCTATTAAAAGTACATTGAATTGAATGAAATGAATCAAAAATATTGTACCTTTATTCAACCAGAAAAGGCGGCGGGAGTGGGGTCGTGGAGCGTGTTAAAGGGGCCTATTTTACATGTTTTAGTGGTTACAGAAACTAGAGCATCCAGAGAGAACTTACGCAGATACAGGGAGAACAAGCAAACTCCACACAGAAAGGTCTGGAGGTGTTCGAACCCAGGACCTTCTTGGAGTGAAGCACACGAGCACCACATTCTAATTTCATTCTCCTGTCATTATACTTTTCTGAGTCATCAAACCTCTTCTCTCTATGGAATTCTATGAAAGGATAAAAAAATGATTCATGTGCAGAGCCTCGTCAACAACAGCCTGAGTGAGGAGCACAACAGCACTAATGAGATTTACACTGATTGGATTGAGAGCAGGACGTCCTGTGACTGACATGTGTCACTGTGAGCTTCTCTTTTACCTTCTAAAGCAGACCAATCCAACTTGTGGTCCAGGGGCCAAATCAGGCCCTGAAAACAGCCTGGTCTGGCCTGGCATCTTCTACTTTCAAACAAGAATTTGCAAATCTCCTGAAAAAAACATTGAAAAATCTTGAATTGTGTTGACATTGTGTTTGTCTTAAAACAAGATAAATTTACCTCCAACCATTTTTCTTTATTCAAAATAGTATATTATTTATTTTTAGGGCTGTCAAAATGATTGTGTTAACGACGTTAATAAAACGTTTTCTATAATCGCGTTTAAAAAAAGTACGCTTTTGACGCATGTCCGAATGACCCGCCCATGCATCCCATAATATTACTCAGAATGCGTGTGTGAGATGGCGACGAGCAGGTCTCTGGGAATTCAAGTTTTAAAAGAATTTGCGCGTGACTGCGAGGCACTTGCTGTTGTTTGTTTTGAACTCAAACGAGAGTCTGCATCTTTTGTGGCTGCAGCGTTCTGACCCGGGGCAGCTGCGGCTGCTCTGGACAGCGGTTCACCTCCGCTGACAACAACTCAGCGAACGGCGCCGCTGTGACGTGATCCAAGACCACACACGCCACAGGATTATTCTCTGCTTGCTGTGTGTGTGTGCATCTGTGTAAACTGTACACGATAAATACACCGCTGAAACTGTGAGTCTCTGAGTCTGTAGAGAGACACAGGGAGACCAGAAGTGTCTGAGTCTCCCTGTGTCTCTCCCCTGCAACTAAACTCGCTAAATTAAAGCTGGGGTACATACATTTACCCTTGCATTAACAGTTCATGTTGGTTGTTTCCAAAAGTAAAAAGTGTGAGCAAATCAAACAGATTTAATGACATTTTGCCTCAGACTGTTTTGAAATGTCCCTCTTCTGTAACAAACAATAGTTTTGGGTCCGAGTCTAAACAGAAAGACAGAATGTGAATAATGTTAATGCCATTTTATATGGATTTATCGTTATAATAAACAAATACAGGACATATGTACACTATGCTGTCATTTATCTTTCCTTTCAAACAACCATTTACAGGAAAATATGGAATAATTTTGCCGATAGTTAGAAATGCGATTAATTGCGATTAATACATTTTAAAGCTGTAACTAACTTGATTAACAATTTTAATGCTTTGACAGCCCTAATTATTTTATAATGTTATTAAAAACATGATTATTCAAGTCCTGGTTAAAAATGTGAACCATGATTGTGATAAAAGTCTCTGCAGCTCGATTTGTCGTGTTGTGATCCACTGCTGCTGTGGGTACAATAGGTCAGACATCTGTGAGAGTGCTGCAGTGACCCTGATACACACGCACACATGCACACACACACACACACAAATACATGCACACATCCACTTGAACACACGTGCACACTCATTCATTAGCACATATTAAAACACTCACTTACACAGGACACACATAAACACACCTGCACTCACAAACAAACGCACACACACACACACTTGCGGTCACAGACCACATAAGCACGTACCCACCACACACACTCGCAGTCACACACCATATACGCACACACACTCACTTGCATTCACAGACCACATAAGCATACACACACACACACACTTGCAGTCACAGACCACGTAGGCACGCACACACACACACACTTGCGGTCACAGACCACATAAGCACGTACCCACACACACACTCGCAGTCACACACCATATACGCACACACACTCACTTGCATTCACAGACCACATAAGCATACACACACACACACACTTGCAGTCACAGACCACGTAGGCACGCACACACACACACACTTGCGGTCACAGACCACATAAGCACGTACCCACACACACACTCGCAGTCACACACCATATACGCACACACACTCACTTGCATTCACAGACCACATAAGCATACACACACGCACACACACACACTTGCAGTCACAGACCACATAAGCACGTACACACACACACTTGCAGTCACAGACCACATAAGCACGCACACACACACACACACTTGAAGTCCCAAGGCACATGCATACACACACTCGCAGTCACAGACCATGTACGCACACACACACAAACTCGCAGTCACAGGGTACACACAAACACACACACACACTTGCAGTCACAGACCACATTGGCACACACACACTTGCAGTTACAGGGCACAAACACACACACAACCCTAGTCACAGGGCACATAAATTGTACATTTCTCCATTGTAAGATGAATAAATGTCTTTCTTGTCTTATAACCACAAGCACACACACACACACAGACACACACACACGCACAGACACACACACACACACACAGACACACACACACACAGTATCCACTCTGCTGAGCTGGCACTTCCACAGCACCTGGCAGACCTTGTGTTACGTTGCATCAGCGCAATGTTTGCACTGAGTCAACTTGTCTGGGCCATTAGCCGTTTGAAAGAAGCCTTCTCTGACGCCGACCTGAGCTCAGACTAAACCACGTGGACACACAAACCTCCTTCCTCGTGCACAAACAAAGTCATTCAGCCTGTTGCCGTGCTTAACGCTTAGACCGTTCTCATTAGGACAGAGAGTGTAAAGAAGCTAGTACTGCCTAATTAGTGACGTGTTTCGGAGTTAGACCTCTGCCTTTGTATGAGACTGCAGCAGCTGTTACCGGATGCAGCCAGTCTGAAAGATCACCCCCTGCGCTGTGGTCTCTGGAGAAGTGAGTCCCAGGTGTGAGGCAAGGTGAAGGCCCCCTCGTCTCTGTTGATGGTTGGTGATTTAAATTGCCTCTTGTATGGCGATGGTGATGTGGGGAACTTCACATTGACTCACACACAAGACAGACTGGCCACCTCCGATAACAACAGCTGATCAAAGGCGGAAGTCTACCACCCAAGCATGTGGTAATTAAGCCGAACTAGCTTCTCTACATTGTTTGTCCAAGTAAAATAACTTTCTAAGAAGACATTATTATTTTTTTCTATTATTTGGCATGCTCTTCAGGTTTTTAGGATAACCACTCGTTTAGCAGTGTGCAAATATGTCCTTTGGTTTGAAAAACGTCGAATAAAGAATCATGCAAGAAACACCAGCTCTAAGTGGCTTGGAGTTTAATCTACAGAGAAGGCCATTCGGGCTATTTGTAGACTTGGTGATGAAAAGAATCGGACTCGAACTTGACTTGAACTACTGCATTCTTGTGCAGAAGAGCCATGTAAGTCGCTGCATGCACTATTTAGGCTGAGAGCTGAGGGGGTAATCCACCCTGATTCATCCACCCTGTAAAAATGAGCTGCTTTATAGTTGTGCTGGTGGATTCTGATGATGGGACAAAGTAACAAGTTCTCGCTGTATTTAACTTGGGGGCGGCAGCTTAAACATGCTAGTGCAGTGTGTGTGTGTCTGTGTCTGTGTGTGTGTGAAATCACCACAAATCTTCTCTGAAAAAGTTAGTATCTCACCCCAATAAAGGAGGCAATTGTTTTTTGTGACCTGTTGTGAATGTGCACAATATGTTTCCTGGTGGCACAGGGCATTTCTTGAGTTTGATTTAGTTTGCAGCATAGTCAAACATTCAGATTGTACTACAAAAATGATCCCCATTACATGTAACTACTACAATATATATGTATAATGTAAAGAATATCTGTGCTTCCTGGAGCCCGGCATGGTGTGAAGCGTCACTGGACAGCTCTGACAATCCTCCTGTTTGGAGCGCTAATCTTTCCTGTTCTGTAAAGTACTTGCCTTATGTATGAATTTTGCTGTATACATAAACTTCTCATGTCTTGCTCAGGGCGAGGAGTATGACAGAGGAGCAGAGCACTGAAGACCCCGGCCTGGTGCCCACTCAGGAGCTCCAGGAGCCCACCAAAGAGGAGGACTCACATCACGGCCATTTCAGGCAAGTCACCCACATGCATGCCCCTTCACAAATCAATAAGGCATTGAACTCTTGAACGAAATAATCACAGTACACTGAAAAGAGCAGTGCATTGTAAGAGAAGATCCCTGTTTTATATTTTAAGGAAGACTGATCCAAATTACAGCTGCATAAATCCGTAATGCTGCCTCCTCATGTTTAGTCCTGACTCTGGGACCAGCAGGAGGTGGCACGGTGGCTGAGTGGATAGCACTCTCGCCTCTCAGCAAGAAGGTCCTGGGTTCGGAACAGGGCCTTTCCGAGTGGAGTTTGCATGTTCTCCCCGTGTCTGCTCCGGTTTCCTCCGGGTGCTCCGGTTTCCCCTACCACTAAAAACATGCACAATAGTTATGAATGTCAATGGGAGAGTGAATGGATGGTGTTGGTTGGGAGCTGATGCTCCAGTGTGTTCGGCGACTCGCTTCTGTCATCACTGTGTGTGGAATGATTGGAACAATATCTGAACTCTGAACATTGTAAAGCGCTTTGGGTGACCTTGGTCTGTAAAATGCGCTATATAAATAAACATTACTTACTTATTCTTCAGCCCCAGCAAGAGGCCAGTCCCTGTGCTCCTCAGAGTTGGAGTTGGTTCATATTAGGGGTGGGAACCTAAGGGTACCTCACGATACGATACGATACACGATACAAAGCTCACGTTAACGATATTATCACAATAACAATATCACGATAACAATTTTATCACGATATGACGATTATCGATATATTGGTCAGAAATATACAATATGCCAATTTATGGCATAAATAAAAGAAAAAATACACTTTATTTAATGATAAATGGAATGGAGATGCGTAATATAGCCATATATTAAGTATTGATACCAATTCAAAAAAAACAATTTGTAAAAAAAAAAAAAAAAAATCTTTTTTTTTTTTCCCTGCTTGCCTTAGTAGCTTTGCGTGTACAGACTAAATGAAGTTTATTGGGTGTACCTGGAGTCTGTCTGAAGAAGTTGCAAATGTAATCATGCAACATCATGTTTACTTTGAGTGTTTGTTTTTCACACCGGCTCATCTGCAGCAATAATAACATTTCTTCAGTGCAAGTAAACTCACATGCTGCTTTTGTTTCACGAAATCAAAACAAAGCAACGTGTGCAGAGAAACTGGTTTTGATACTTATCACCAGGATCAATATGGCTTTTCCGTGTTCTTAACTGCATCTGCTGGTCTTGTCCATAGACTGTAAATATTAGCAGACGTAGTCGTGCCTGGCTCTGCTGTAGAAACTAATGTTCCATCACTTTTGGCTTCTGTGGGGTTTTTCAAAATGACCACGAGCAGCCCCTCCCGCAGAAAATGTGAAAAAAAGCATTTGTGCATGTGTTAGCCGGCACTATCCCCATTCATTTAACAAGTACGTTCTGAAATCCACAATGTCTAAACTAGACTGGTCCAAATAAATATACTCCCCTCATCATTGACGGCATCTGGAACGTAGCTTTGAGCCAAGAGCCACTTTTTGGACCATCCTTTTTCGAGAGGAAAGAAGACGCCATACAAAAGCATTGGGTAATTCTCTTTCCGGGTACACCCCCACCGGCCTGGAGTGATATTGCAAGTATGTCAGCGCACATGCTCATGGGCCAGGACTGTGATTGTCTCAGTAGCATCCATTTTGCTTGATTACAAAACACTAGAAATGATTCAGACCATTTACGGACCGGAACTTACGGCTTTGCTCATTTGTCAGTGCGGTCAGTGTGATGACAGAATGTTGTGCTCTATTTACAGATCTAATGTAACATGTGGTCCCACGCCATAGTCCCATCTGTGCTGCTCTAATGTAAACACACGCTCACAAACACACACATACGCACACACAAACACACAGCGCATCTGTCTCCGGCGCTGATCTCTGACACTGCACACCTGCTGTTCTCAGAAGTGCGCAGCATGCAAAGCCGAGAGAAAATATACTGTATTCAGCGGGATGAAAGTAGACATTCATTTGTTTAAAGCGGTTCTGTCCATTGATCAAAAAAATTAATCTCTATTAATCTCTTGAATGTCACAGATAACTTGTGATTCATTGCAAAATTGTATCTGTTCCAAATGTCCCTTGAATCATTATTTGATTATATTTATCGACATGGAAAAGTGGATTGCTGACTACTTACTAATATATATTCTATTTACAAACTGAGAGCTGATTGGTGCCCAGAGTCAGGACTAAACATGAGGAGGCAACATTTCATATTTATGCGGCTAGAATCTGGAACAGTCTTCTGTAAAATGTGAGACAGGCTTCTACTCTTGACAGTGTTCAAATCCAGGTTAAAACAGTTCTATTAAGCTGTGCAGACAACTGAGAATTTTGTATGGTTTTGTAAAGAATTTCGAGTTGCCTTGTGTATGAACTGTGAATAATAATTAAAATAATGCCTCAGTTTTATATATAGTGGTTTTTGTAAACTCAAACACGGTACACAGTGGTGATAAACTACTAATGTAGCCACAGCTGCCTTGGTGCACATCAAGCGAGGCAACCTGTCTGTGCCATTGACCCCACTGACCATTTACAAACACACCAGACTCAATCTAGGCAATGTGGGTGAAGTGTCTTGCCTAAGGACACAAAGACAGTTTTGTACTTTACAGCCGCAGCCGCCCCACTGTGGTACCATGGTCTTCCCAGAAGTCTCCCATCATAGTACTACTGTTATCATGAAAATGTAATCGTTGCTGTACAGACTAGGCCCAAACCAATAGATCTAAAAGAGGAAATTTAATGACACTGAATTATAACAAGATACAGTGCCTTGCGAAAGTATTCGGCCCCCTTGAACCTTTCAAAATTTTGCCACATTTCAGTCTTCAAACATAAAGTTAGAACATTTTAATTTTTTCTCATGAATCAACAACAAGTGGGACACAACCGTGAAGTGGAACGAAATTTATTGGATAATTTAAACTTTAAAAAAAAATAAAAAACTGAAAAGTGGGGCGTGCAATATTATTCGGCCCCTTTACTTTCAGTGCAGCAAACTCAGTCCAGAAGTTCAGTGAGGATCTTTGAATGATCCAATGTTGTCCTAAATGACTGATGATGATAAATAGAATGCACCCGTGTGTGATCAAGTCTCCGTATAAATGCACCTGCTCTTTGATAGTCTCAGGGTTCTGTTTAAAGCGCAGAGAGAACCATGAAGACAAAGGAACACACCAGGCAGGTCCGAGATACTGTTGTGGAGAAGTTTAAAGCCGGATTTGGATACAAAAAGATTTACCAAGCTTTAAACATCTCAAGGAGCACTGTGCAAGCAGTTATATTGAAATGGAAGGAGTATCAAACCACTGCAAATCTACCAAGACCCGGCCGTCCCTCCAAACTTTCATCCCAAACAAGGAGAAGACTGATCAGAAATGCAGCCAAGAGGCCCATGATCACTCTGGATGAACTGCAGATAACTACAGCTGAGGTGGGAGAGTCTGTCCATAGAACAACAATCAGTCGTGCACTGCACAAATCTGGCCTTTATGGAAGAGTGGCCATTTCTCAAAGATATCCAATAAAAGTCTCTTAAAGTTTGCCACAAGCCACCTGGGAGACACACCAAACATGTGGAAGAAGGTGCTCTGGTCAGATGAAACCAAAATCGAACTTTTTGGCCACAATGCAAAACGATATGTTTGGCGTAAAAGCAACACAGCTCATCACCCTGAACACACCATCCCCACCTCAGCTGTAGTTATCTGCAGTTCATCCAGAGTGATCATGGGCCTCTTGGCTGCATCTCTGATCAGTCTTCTCTTTGTTTGAGATGAAAGTTTGGAGGGACGGCCGGGTCTTGGTAGATTTGCAGTGGTTTGATACTCCTTCCATTTCAATATAACTGGGTTAGGGTCCCTATCTATCTGATCTAGTATCTGATACTAGATCAGATAGTGGTCTGATCTAGTATCAGACCACTAGATTTGCAGTGGTCTGATACTCCTTCCATTTCAATATAATTGCTTGCACAGTGCTCCTTGAGATGTTTAAAGCTTGGGAAATCTTTTTGTATCCAAATCCAGCTTTAAACTTCTCCACAACAGTATCTCGGACCTGCCTGGTGTGTTCCTTTGTCTTCATGGTTCTCTCTGCGCTTTAAACAGAACCCTGAGACTATCAAAGAGCAGGTGCATTTATACGGAGACTTGATCACACACAGGTGCATTCTATTTATCATCATCAGTCATTTAGGACAACATTGGATCATTCAAAGATCCTCACTGAACTTCTGGAGTGAGTTTGCTGCACTGAAAGTAAAGGGTCCGAATAATATTGCACGCCCCACTTTTCAGTTTTTTATTTGTTAAAAAAGTTTAAATTATCCAACAAATTTCATTCCACTTCACGATTGTGTCCCACTTGTTGTTGATTCATGACAAAAAAAATACAATTTTATATCTTTATGTTTGAAGCCTGAAATTAGGCGAAATGTTGAAAGGTTCAAGGGGGCCGAATACTTTCGCAAGGCACTGTACATACAGACATAATAGAAAATATCATACTCCAAGGAGAGATGGTTGGAGAGAGAGAGAGAACCCTGGAGGCTCTGGACCTCAGCATTAGGCCTGCTACATGTTGCATAGAGAGTTAACGCCGACCAAGACCCCAAACTAGTCCATCCCAGCTCTCTATATACTGGCTGTGAGGTCACTCTCAGGTTCCACTGGATTGGTCAGGGGGGTCAGCCAGGAGCAAGCCAGCCCCCAAGGAGGGGGGACATGGACATCAGATATTTAAGGTGATAACCAAAGGCAATTTTCCACCTTGGTGGACAATAAAGTTTTCTTATTTCTTATTAGCGTCAGTGGCCTGATGGGATCTGACTTTCACATGCAGGTATGGCCACAACCGTGCTATACAATTAAACCATTGGCTGAGTAAGCGCTGGTACATATTTAATGATGTGGCTGCAAACCAGCGAGAAACTAGTTTTATGGATTAATTACATGGTTATTCTTTATGGTTTTAAAATTAGGTTCTCTAGCATTAAAGTCGACCTTAGCAGAAGTTAAATGATAAGAAGCTGAATGGACAAAGAAGGAGAGGAGAGGAGAAGGGAGGAGGTGTTTGTTCAGATGGAGGGCAAGTGAAAGTGTTGTGTTGTGTGGAGAGCGGCGTTTTCAGCTGCACTTCTCCTGAGTGTGCACAGTGCCACCTTGGAAGTGCACCCCAGGACACACACAAGGGGAATACTAATGCCCCTCCCACACCGCCCCCCTGCCGCACCGCTGTGCTAATTACATTACTCTGTGTAAATGTCACCTGGGTCATTCTCAGAGGGGACGCAGCAGCTCCAAACTCCACACGGCAACAACATGAGACATCACTTTTGCTTTTATTCAAGCAGTGTTGTATTTGACCGTGGATTATATCCAGAATCTGCCTATAGTGTTTAAAGCACACAAATGGTCTCTCTTGGAACTATGTGCTGTACGACGATAGTGGAGTTTGAGTGGAGCCAGTTGGGGTCAGAAGGCGAACAGTGCATGACCAGACCACCTTGCCGTCATGGAGCAATGTGAGACCCGACTGGACCACCTGCTTGGACTGCAGAACATGTGTGACCTGCTCCGCGTTTCCCTTATGCAGTGTGGTTCAATTCCATTCAATTTATTTTCGTAAAGCCCGAAATCATAACAGCAATCACAAAGTTGTCGAATCACCAACAACTGATTAGAGAATGTATGCCGTTCAAACACAGGAATTGAGACTAACAGGTCCTGTACAGTGTCTGAGACTGACAGGTCCCAGTTGTTTTTAGGATAATCCATGTTAAGCACTCAGGCCTCACTGCAATCATTCAATCAAACTGCCACACAAGGTGCTTCACAGAACATAGACAAGCTAGTCTGGAACGACTGGAACCAGAATATGTGGCAAAAGTACAGTGTTACTACTATTGCCCCTTTTTTCATGCTCCGACCACAAACATGAATTTAGATTTATTTAAAGAAGGTGGTCAATCTGATCCCTGTTCTGGCCCTGTACACCACAGGTGACACTCTGATCATCAGCTTCTGGAGATGGGTCACTGGGCGCTGCTCTGATCACTGCTACAGGATGTGGCTTTGAGGGATGGGTCAAATGTAAAGGACACATATCTCTATGAGGACAATACCAATGTTTAAATGCTTTACATTGAGGGCTGTCAGATAAGAGAAGCTTTCTTCGTCCCTTTGGGGAAATTTCAGGTTCAAGATTCCATAAATGCATAAGAATGATCTGTTCTTTTACACAAGTTGGCATCGGCACATATGGTACGGCTCACACTTGTATCCTGTCTGCCAGCTCACACATGCTCCCACTCATTTACTCACATGATGACACACTGTTAGGAGACGACTGCTTTACAACCATATGTCATATTTTAATCAAATCTTTGATAAGTGTCTCTCAGAGAAGTAGTCACAGGTACAAAACATGTCTGTCCTTTCCTGAAGTATAGTTTAAAGTGGAGTTATTCTAAAATATTCTTGGACATAATATACATAATATAAATATTCATGTATTATCCATTCAGGGGCAGGATGTGTCTCTCATTTGGGTTACCAGTTTCTTAGGTTACCTTACTTTACCTTGCATTTCCTTAGGTGAATCTGAAATAGCTACACATAGCAAGGTATAAATAAAGTACCGTATTTTTCTGATCATAAATCACTCCGGATTATAAATTGCACCAGCTGAAAATGCCTTTTAAAGAAGGAAAAAAAAACATATACAGTATAGGTCGCATTAGAATAAGTATTTTAGAATATGTATTTGATAAAATCCAACACCAAGAATAGACATTTCACCTTGAGTTAATTTCACTGTGAATTATCTGTCAATTATTATTTGTGAGATGCAGTATTGATAGGGAGCAGGAGCAAACATTTAGGTAATACAAAAAATAGTCTATTTCTAGAACAGTCCTAAATTGCACAATGGTATTCAGTCCCGGTACATGTCTTCATTCTTTGGGATCTTCTTAATGGCTTAATCTCTTAATAGCCTGGGCTATTATTTTATATGATCCATGATCCATAATGTTCCATATGAAGACCAAACAAACTGTGTGGTGGTATTATCTTTATTCCAATCGGATGTTACACAATCTCCCGGCTGCACATTGTGTTGTATGGACAAAAGCATTAGTGGCCTCCGGGCCCCTCTGCCCCTCCTCCCTGATACAACCACACCAGCTGCTGTTGTCACCGTGAAAAGAACAGCACTGATCCGCTCTTAACATGTCCTACACACACACACACATACACACACACACACACACATATAGGAATGAGATCTAAGAAGCCTAACTGGAAATGATTTTGCAACGACTTCGAAAAGTGATCTCGTCTAGCTCTGTACCTTTCTAACTCACCATTTTGGACTCAATAGTTGGCCTTAAAATGTTTCTAAAGTCCTCTTAAATCCCAATAAGTCCCCTAATAACTGACCATCAGCCCACTTCTTCAATGCTCCCAGAAAATAACTTCCCTCTGCATGCATCTTGTTGGAATCCTGAGGCGTTTCTAGGCCAGCTCAGTCCCTCCAATGTGTCCTGGCATCAGCAGCAGCTCTACTCTGAGCTCCTCTCCCTACATGTTTTTTCTTAAAGTTGTGCCAAGCCACTCTGCAGAGGAAACTAATTTAATCCGCTTGTATCCTCGACCTTGTGCTTTATTTTGCTCATTATATAATCCCTAACTTAGACTTCATCTTGTTGCTGTTTCCCTGGTCTTTTTTTTTTTGCGGTTACCTCGGTTGAATCCCATCCGACCATTCAGCGAGCAGGGGAGGCGGGTGTTGTAGGTAGGTGTCAGTGACGTCAAAAGTTTGCGTCAAATTTAGCAGTTGCAGTTGATAATTGCGGCGAATGCGATAGCAAAGTAATCTGTTCTGGATCTATAGCCTCAATCTTGGATCTATAGCCCCAGTCTTGGATCTATAGCCCCAGTCTTGGATCTATAGCCCCAGTCTTGGATCTATAGCCCCAGTCTTGGATCTATAGCCTCAGTCCTGGGTCTACATCTGCCACAGAACTACAGATCACTCACTCACCTTATCGCTCGGTTGCTTTTTTTTTCTCCCACTGTGTTTTGGATTTTTTCTTTCCGATGCAGGAGGGTGTAAGGACAGGGGATTATCATTGATATCATTGGTTAAATTAGATTTTCTAATTTGCTGTCAGCCAAACAACAATTCTGCGATGCCTTTTGAGACGACTGCTGTTCTGAATTTTAACCCGTTTTCTTGGATTATTCACGCCCTAATGGGTTCGACAGTGATGTCCCTTCATCTCTGTCCAGTGGAGCGTGTGCGACAACAGAAAATGTTCTTGTAACTCCATGTTTGATCTTCTCCCTGTAGGTTTCACCTGATTGAAGACCTGTCATATGAGGATGTGAAGAAATGTTACCGGGGATCGGTGAGTAGAATCCATCACTTTGAACGCCCAGAGAGGGCAAAATACAGAGAGGGCAAAATACAAGGGAAAAGAAATCACATTAGAGTAAAGATGACACGTCTTCCAAATGACTGTGAACATCTGTAAACTATTTCCACAATTCCCCCCTTGTTTTTTGTCCTCTTGTGCATCTTGATTTTGTCACGGTACCATATTGTGTGAGATTTTAACTTTAAAAAAATGTACCCTAACTGCAGGGGTCTTGAAAAGTGTTATTTTGGATTCCAATGAGATTTTGTTTTTACTTCACCAAATTGGTTCTGGAAAGTTCCCATCCATGAGCAGGACAAAAAGCAGGGGTGTCAAACCAGTGTGGCTGCAGGTTTTCATTCCAACCAAGCAGGAGCACACCAGACTCCACCCATTTCCTCAAGTGAGTCCAGTCTTTACCTAAAGACTTGAGGAAATGGATGGAGTCTGATGTGCTTCTGCTTGGTTGGAATGAAAACCTGCAGCCACACTGGCCCTTTCTGAATTTTGACTTTTTTTTTAAATATTGTATTTATTATATTGGGGACTGGACAATTCCAAGCATTAAAGCCGGGTTACCTAACTTTCTCCCACATAAATATTACATTTTGTTTGTCACAACAGAAAGAGTCTTTAACAGAAAATGGACTAATCAGAGCACGACACACTAAATTAATATTATTAAAATAAGAACTTTTGTACTTATAATAAAAGAAAGAATTCCCTGTGCATCTCTATTTGATGCTTTGAGCTGAGATCTGATTGGCTGAGTGAGGGTGGTCCTCTCATTTTCACTTTTCTGTCTGAATACATTGATCTGAAGATGTGATATGGGCCAAAAATATATGTATGTGAAAACTAGTTCCATTGTTGTGGTTTCAAAGTTAGGTTTCCCAGCCCTCCACCAGAAAAGATAGTTATCAAACAATGTAAGTCTTATAGATGTAGTTTAACTTAACACAATATGGCATCTTATATAGTTTAATATCCCTCTGCATTTTGTGTTCTGCTGTAGCCCCTGCTTTTTCCGCCTATTCCTCAACAACTAATATTAGCTGCTGGAGCGCCGTACTCATAAACTCACTTTGTAAACTGTACACAGACGGGGCGGATGCATGTGTAATCTTGTATGTTGACATAACTGGCACACGCTCTGCTGGTAAAACAACGTCCCGTTGTGAGTCCGTATGCTCGCGCGCAACACCGGGGCTATATCAGGAGAGCGGGACGCAAGAGCCAGCAAAATGTGACGATAGCGGCCAAGACCAGCATTTTTACCACCTCAGCAATGGAGTGATAGCATGAGGAAGGAAGACCGGGCGGCAAAGGACGTTGTCGGAGTTGTGAATAGCTAATTTAGCAGTCGGTTGGAGAATTCTGTAGCAGTTAAAGTGGTCGTAGGAGCTGCCAAGAAAGAGAAGGAAAGATGTGATTTATTGGGCGGTAAAGAAAGAGGCTGCTGCTATGTCTAGATGCATTAGAGAGAAAGGTAAGTCTTGGCAAATTACTGAGTTGAATTATTCTAAGCAGATTTGTGGTGCACTAAAAGTTGGAAAAACTGGTTGTTGGTTGAAATGTGAGCAAAGGGACATTTGGTGGACCATAAAGTTGCACTCACAGTATATGAGCCATTATTTAAAGTCATAGACAACTTGGCTTCTCCAATCTTTGAATATAGATAATTGTCTATATGAAGCCGGCAGGAGGTAAAAAGGCAGAATGTCATAGTGGTATTGGAGCATTCATGTGGACTCTCGTTGATTGTTTTGGTCATACTAGAGTAGTAAAGTAGATAACCTTTCACTATTGATCATCAGCATTATTACTTGAGTGTTAGCTTAAGTGTAGCTGCTCCTGCTCCGTGCGATCGGTGAGTGTGTGTTATGCTAGTGTAACCAAGATGGCAGCATGTCCACTGTCTGCTCAGTGTCTCTCTCTGGACTAACTCGTTTTAATGGATTTTTACTGCTTTTAATTCTTTTTAAAGTTACAGTTTAATGTATTTTTTATTGAAACTTCTTCACAAGCTCTTGAGAATTGTGAATTGGAGCCCAGAGCAAACTGAGACAATGAAGATGTGTTGCTGAAAACGTGCTAGCTCGGAGGCTACCACGAGGGCACCACGTCATGAGCTTTTATTAAACCTACACAGACATGGAACGCGACACTGCAATAACCACAAACCCTATAAACGACATTAGTCGCCTCACATTGGAGTTTCGTGAGAGGGACCGTGCCACTATTGCAGACCTCCGTAAAGAAGTCCTTCGCCTCACTGCAGAGCTGCAGGATAAACAGTCACTCGTGTCCAAACTCTTTGATGTCGCTGGCGGGCAGCACTCACGACTTATGTCACTGAGCGCTGCATACTGTGACACTGTCGTGTGGGAGAGGTCTGTCAGCTCTGGACCCTCCTGTTCTACACCTAAGCGCCCGGTTCCGAATGAGGAACCCGCGAACTGCGAGGAGCCATCCAGCGCCGTGGCCCATGTCCTAAGCCTGTCAAACCGCTATGCAGCCCTCTCCGCTGACATCCCAGCCCCCTCAGCAGAACCTCTGGACTCTGCAGCGTACTCTGCCGTTCGTGGATCTAAGTCCACTGCGAGAAAAACGCTCCTAAAGGAAGCCGTCCTCAGACGAAAGAGTGGTCATTCCCCTTCTCTGACCCCAGTGCATCACCACCGCTTACCTCCACCGGGTCAGCAGCAGCGACCCGAGCCTGCTCCTCACGCCGCTCCAGCGTCCCCGAGCACACAGCGTGGGTTGCCCGGAGCTGAGAATCAACACCCCCGCTCCCCTCCATGTGTTCAGCAGCGCCCTGGTTCGGACTCATCCCTGGATGAGCCCGCTGGTTCTGGCCATGGACACCGAGCGCCCTCTCCGCGGCTACGTCCACTCTTCGCCCCGACTACTTTGATTGTTGGAGATTCCATCGTGAGGCACGTCCGCTTTTTTAACGCGGTCACTCACTGCATTACCGGAGCTACTGTCCCAGACCTGCTCATCCGTCTCCCTCCTCTGCTTCAGTCCCTGCCTGATACCATTTTAAAGGTAATCGTGCATGTGGGGATCAACGATATGAAGCTGCAGCAGTCCGAGGTCACAAAGAAGCATTTTATGGATCTATTCCGCCTCCTCCAGTCCTCCGGGTTGTGTGTTTTTATTTCTGGTCCAGTCCCGACTGTAAAACGGGGGGACTGCCTCTACAGTCGCGTAGTGGCGTTGAACATGTGGCTCCAGTCTGCATGTAGCTCGTTTAACTTTATTTTTGTGAATAACTTTGGCCTTTTCTGGAAGTGTCACGTGGCTTATCGTCCAGACGGTCTGCACCCAAATAGATATGGCACCAGCTTGTTGACGGATTACTTACGCCACGTTATTCAGTGTTCCCCGAGGGGGGCGTGACTGTTTACATCGGAGCCCCCACCACCACCACCCTCCTCCTTCTTCTCCTGCTCACCAGCACCGGGTGAGTACTGTGGTGCAAACACTGACCCCTTTCCGTCTGGCAGTGAAATAACAGTCTCGCCTCTGAACCGTGCTGCCTCCTGCTCTAAACAACGAAGCAATGCCGTCCTGAATCCGGGACTTACACAGCAAAAGAGTTTACATGTTAGACAAATAGAAACTGTGTGTGTTCCTCGCATCAGTTTCAAAAAATGTTTTTATTTGAATGGAAAACAAAATCATAACAGAAGGACAGCAGTTAGACATTCAAATCTAATTCCTGCTCCTTGTAAAAATCAATTAACTAAACCCACTGTTACTGATATTAATTTTAAAATTGCTATGCTTAATGTCAGATCACTGTGCAACAAATCATTTTTAATTAATAATTTTATCCGTTCTTATGATCTTGATTTTATGTTTCTGACTGAAACTTGGCTTGACCAGAGTACAGGTAATGCGGTTTAAATAGAAGCAACGCCACCAAAATTCAAATTTGAATCTGAAATACGAGAAAATAAAAGGGGGGGAGGCATTGCTGCATTATTTAGAGATCGTATTATCTCTCATAGAATTCTCCTTGGAAATTTTCTATCATTTGAGTATATTTCTTTTAAAATAGAACAAAAACAATCTCCTTCTATTCTTATCATTGTCCTGTACAAGCCACCGCAGTCTTGTCACAATTTCTTTGATAATTTCACTGAGTTGCTTTCAGTTGTTTGCACCGATTTTGATAGTTTAGTGATTACAGGTGATTTTAATATTCATGTGGATAATGGCAATGACAAAAATGCAAAAGAGCTGAGTTCTGTACTTGAAACATTTGGTCTCACTCAGCACGTGAGTGGCCCCACCCACAGCAAAGGGCACACTCTAGACCTGCTGGTTACAAAGGGGGTTAATATTTTAAATGTAAATGTGGTTGACGTGGCTCTGTCAGATCACTTCTGTGTATTTTTTGACATGTGTTTTGATAGTAAACAACCATATATATCTGAATCTGCAATTGTCAGACACAGACACATAAATGAAAACACAACCGAACTATTCATGGGAATGATAAACTTTGAGAACACATTGTGTTCTACTGTTGACGAATTGTTTAACTCTGTCACCGCCAATGTTATAAATGTTCTGGACATCATCGCTCCTGTGAAGGTTAAAATGATTACAAATAAGCCAAAGGCCCCCTGGACTAAAATGGACTCAGTCATGGTACAGAAGAGAGAGTGCCGTAGGGCCGAGCGGAAGTGGCGAAAATCCAATCTCCAGGTTGATCATGATATCTTCAAAAATGAGTTGTGCAAGTTTAACAGGGTGCTACGTAGAACAAGAGAAATTTATTTTTCTAAAACCATTGATGGCTGCAATAATAATCTACGACTTATGTTTTCAACAGTTAACGGATTAACAAACCCCCCTGTTCAGCTGCCATTCGAATTTGCTTCAGAATCTAAATGTAATGAGTTTGCACAATTTTTCAATGACAAGGTTCAGAGCATCAAAAACGCCATCACCTCCAAGGCAGAAATAACATTACAACAGCCGGTGAGGCTGTTTGAGCTATCGCACTTTGCACCAACAGATAATGAAACTGTCCAAGATGTTGTCTCTAGCCTTAGTTCCTCCACATGTAGCCTGGATGTACTACCCACTAAATTTTTTAAGTCTGTTTTGAGCAGTCTTTTACCTTTGCTCACACAAATAGTGAACATGTCTCTCTCATCTGGAACATTTCCAATGGCCCTGAAAACGGCAGTCATCAGACCCCTCCTAAAAAAGAGGAGTCTAGATGCCACAGTTCTTAAGAATTATCGCCCTATTTCAAATCTGCCGTTTATGGGAAAAATTCTGGAAAAAGTTGCTTACCAACAACTTACAGAATTCTTAGTAACTAATAGTTCCTTTGATGCGCTCCAGTCCGGCTTTAGAGCCAATCACAGCACTGAGACTGCACTAGTGAAGGTTACAAATGACATCCGACTTAACACCGACACAGGAAAAGTCACAGTTTTAGTAATGTTGGATCTGAGTGCTGCGTTTGACACAGTCGACCACGAGATCCTCATGCAGAGACTAGAGCACTGGGTGGGTGTCACTGGGACTGCCCTAAGTTGGTTTAGGTCTTACCTAGAAGACAGGAAATACTTGGTTCAGATAGGAAACTGTGTCTCAGATCATATGGCTCTGACCTGCGGAGTGCCACAGGGATCAATTCTGGGGCCTCTTCTGTTCAATATTTACATGCTGCCGTTAGGTCAGTTAATACGCTCCAACAATGTATCCTACCACAATTACGCTGATGACACTCAAATTTATGTCTCACTTACTGCAGGAGAACATGGACCAGTGGAATCACTCCTTCACTGTACTCAACAGATTAGTGATTGGATGCAAAATAACTTCCTTCAGCTAAACGCAGACAAAACAGAATTGATTGTCTTTGGTCCTCAGAAACAAAGAGAGAGCGTTATTCGTCACCTCCAGTCTCTCTCCCTGGAACCTGTAGGCAAGGTCAGAAACCTAGGAGTTATAATGGACTCAGACTTAAATTTTAACAGTCATATCAAATCAGTAACATCAGCAGCATTTTACCATCTGAAAAACATTGCCAAAATTAGAAACATAGTGTCTAAATCAGATCTGGAGATTCTCATCCATGCATTTGTCTCCAGTAGGTTAGACTACTGCAATGGCCTGCTCACAGGTCTCTCCAAACAGGCTGTAAAACAACTGCAGTATGTCCAAAATGCTGCAGCTCGAGTCCTGACCAGGACCAGGAAATATGACCACATTAGTCCAGTTCTCAGGTCTCTGCACTGGCTTCCTGTGGCTCAGAGAATAGACTTCAAAGCAGCACTGCTTGTGTACAAGTCTCTCCATGGCCTCGCACCAGGGTACTTAAGCGACTTGTTAGTCCCATATGAACCGGCCCGGACTCTGAGGAGCACAGGAGGTAGCCTCTTACTGGTTCCAAGAGTCAGAACTAAACATGGGGAGGCAGCGTTTGAGATTTATGGAGCTAAAATCTGGAACAATCTTCCTGAAGATGTGAGGCTAGCATCTACTCTGGCAATTTTTAAATCAGGGCTAAAAACTGTTCTTTTTAGCTGTGCATACGGCTGAAGGATTTTATTGATACATACTCTTTTTTTTTAATGCATTGTGGTTATTTATTATTTTAATCCCGTGTGTGCTTTTAATATTTTAAGTTTTTTTTTTTTTTTTTTTTTTTTTCATTACTTGTGATTTTATTCTGTTTTTAATGTATTTATTGATGTCTCTGATTTGTGTGATATTATGTGGGTTGTGAGGCGCTTTGAGTGGCCTTGTGTTGGAAAGGCGCCATACAAATAAAGTTGGTTGGTGGTTGGTGGTAGTGCTCCTTAAGTCATACAGCAGGTGGTCTAACAGGGCCCAGTGAGTACGTTTACAAAGCATAAGGATTCGGTCTTACCACGCTGGTCCTAGACTGATTGAGCAGTGGGGAGTTTCAAAGGGAGCCTGGGATTCGGGATCATACTTTCCAGATTCCCCCTGGACTATGAGTCTGTCCACCCATCCAGAATTTCTTAAGCAGTACACACTTGAACAAACGGACTGCAGACCCAACAATAAGCGGCTTCATATCAGCTGCAACAAGCTCTCTTGAGGAGAAAGTAAACACAGCTGCTGCGTTTAACTACTGCATGATAATTTTAGATCTTTTACAAGAGATCTCCAATGAATCTTTGTCGAGGAGAATATTAGCCAAGATGTTTCTAAGACGTCTCTGACCTTTAGCTATTTATTCAAATGTTATATCTGCAATTTTATTTATCATATGTATACTATGTACAGTACAATGTTGGAAAATTCTAATCACAGAGCATCTTGTGTATGTAGAAGTTTAGATTTGGCTTCACATAGCAAACAAAATCATGAAAATAACTGCAAAGGGATCATGCATGCGGTCAATTACATACAATTCTAATATGCGCATGGCTTTTCCTTGTGCTCTTAAATGCACCTGCTGGCCTTGTCTGTTTTTTCCACACCCAAACCAGCACATACGCTTTGCTTGATCTAATTTCATTGGACGAGGTGAGTGAACCGGTTTTCACTAGTGCTTTGTAAACGTACTCGTGTATGTCTGTGGTTGTAGTAGCGTTAGTGTAGTAGTAGTAGTAGTAGTCGTAGTAGTGGAGTAGTACTGTTTGAGCCGGAGAGCAGGTGGCGTCCGCTCTGACTGGGCTCGGGCTCAGTGTGTGTCTTGCAGCAGCCTCCTCCAGGCCTTGGACGTGCGTGAGTGTGTGTGCATGTACGGGGCCAACGTGCTGAGCCTGGTGCACAGCTCTCTGGTGTCTGCAGCCACGGGGGCCGGAGCCAGCGGGGGGGCCAAGGAGCTGCTCATGACTCTGCCCTGTCCCTCTGCGCAGACTGTCAGCAAGTACAACTCCCAGTACCACAAACTGTTCCCCTGCGTGCCCCAGGACGAGATCCTCATGAAAGGTACGACACACGCATGAGGAACAAAAAGACATTTCACTTCTTCATCTAAGAATATATTGTCAAAGTCTAGTCCATTTATGTATGTATAGCCCCTCAAACAGCCCCTCAAACAGCCCCTCAAACAGCCCGTCAAACAGCCCGTCAAACAGCCCCTCAAACAACCCGTCAAACAGCCCGTCAAACAGCCCGTCAAACAGCCCTCAAACAGCCCTCAAACAGCCCTCAAACAGCCCTCAAACAGCCCTCATACAGCCCTCAAACAGCCCTCAAACAGCCCTCAAACAGCCCTCAAACAGCCCCTCAAACAGCCCAGTCAAAACTAAAAGTACCAAAACATCTCTAGGGAAGTACCGATCCAGATTTTTTGTAATCCGATCCGATTCCGATATTCTTAAACATTGTTTTGCTGATACCGATCCAATATTTTTGCAACCAGTATTACTTTAAAATGTTTTTTTTTTTTTTATTATAACAGGATCAAAAATATTGTTTGGCTTTTGCTTAACAGACCTACTGAGTTAGGTCATAGGTAAGAATCACATCAGTATTGAATATTTCACCTTTAAAATAAACTTAAAATAAAAGAAATATCAAAGAGGAACAATTATCAAAAAGCGGCCCTCAACATTCAGTATAACAAAAAGAAAAGAGCTGGTACATAACTGAATGACCACAAAAAGCCAGTTCTTAACCAGTGTGTGAACTCTGTAAATGTAAACTCCCCGATATTTAACAAATCCGATAACATCCGATCCTTACAAAATACCCAAACCGGCCCCCAATACTGATACTGAATATCGGATCGGTACATCCCTATTGTCCTCCTAATAATTCTGAAGATCTTGGGTGACAAGCTCAGGCCAAGTTTGATTTGTCGATCCAGGACGTTCAAGGACATTTATTAAAAAGTATGGACATTGGTCATCTGCCCCTTTATGTGTTTTTTTACTGTTGTGAAATAGGGCTATACAAAAATAAATTGAATTGAAAATTGAACGAGTCCGGCGTCTCATTCAATAAGCTGTCTTCATTCTCACCTTATCTATCAAAAACATCCTCTGTCCGCACTCTGACACTGGACAAATTCAATTCAATGTGTTTTAGAGCTAAATCACAACAGCGGCCTTCTAGGAGGACTTCACTAAGTTGTCAATTCACCAACAACAGATCAGCGAATCCAATCATAAAATGTAATCCTAAACACAAAGGAGCCATATGTTCATAGGAAGTGGGATTATGTCTGTAAATGTTCTTAAATGTTCTTAAATGTCCTGAATCATCGCTGTCCTTAGACTCTCCTGCAAATAAAATAAAATAACCAATGGGAAAAAGTGACCAATGTCTGTAAATGTTCATAAAAGTCCCGGGTCATGAGTTTGGATTCTGATTTTGCTCATGTTCCTCACACTTTGACTAAAGACCAATCACAACATCGGTCTTGAGGTTTTTTAATAAAGTCACTCTAAACATAAACTTACTTTTAATACATATAAACTTGTATGTATGTTGGTCAGTTAAATTGTTAAATCACAGTGCGACCCTAAATATAAAGTATGGTTATGGTACAAATTACACAATATTTTTAAATCCTCCTTCATCCAAATAAATGGTTTTACGTTCATTTACTTTCATTCACTCCCTGCAGAAAGACTAAAGAGGTGTGTGTTGTCGCCCGTAGTGTACTCGTGTGCTCTGCTCAGAGACATCCTCCTACAGGGACGCCTCTACATCTCCAGACACTGGCTGTGCTTCTATGCCAACCTCTTCGGCAAAGACATCAAGGTAAAGCAGGCTCGGCTGAGAGGGCCATTTACCGTCTCCATATGTATTAGTACAGCCATTCCCAAACTCAGTAACACCGAGGCCCCCTTAAAAATCTGACGGGTCTGCGTGGCCCCTCAAAATAATAACCAAGAAGACAACATTAAGAATAGGCTCTTCTGGTTATTTTATTTTGGGGAAATAGCCTCTGCTACAAACACTATAATACAAAAATGATTACAGTGGATTATTCAAGTCAAATAATGAACACAAATATTGTAATATTACAAACAAAACATTATAAATTTAACATTAAATAATTCTATTATTTTTTTATTTTTCTTATGACCTCCCGCGGCCCCCCTGCAGTACCCTCGCGGCCCACCAGGGGGCCGCGGACCCCACTTTGGGAGACACTGTATTAGTAAATTATTTGTTCAGTTGCAATATTTTGCGCTTGTGATTAAATCGATACAGTAGAGCAAAGTATTGCGTCATTCCATCCATCCATTTTCTTCCGCTACATCCGTTGCCGGGTCGTGGGGGCAGCAGTCTAAGCAGAGACGCCCAGACTTCCCTATCCACACACACTTCCTCCAGCTCATCTAATATTTAATGTGATAATTATCTGTTTTCTCAGAGTTTACTCTGGTCTTTCACGGCTGGTTTACAAGGTGGCGCTTGTTGCGGTGCTTTCCTATACAAAGGTCCTGTGTCCTGAATGTTCAAGGATAAAGTTAATGTGCAGATTATAAGAAATGTGATATTTGAATCTTATTTTGATCGCAATAAATCGCTGAATTGAATCTCAACATGAAATGTGTATCAAAATATGTTAAGAATCACAAAAATATTGAATTGTGGCCCAAGTATTGCAATACTATCGCTTTGTCACAATTTTGCCAATTCCCACCTCTACGTATAAAATGGCTGTACAATTAGAAGTCACGCCTAAAAGTTTGACAATTACTGTACAGTATTTCCTGCTGCTTTACTCAGTCAAGTATTGGTACTTTTCCATATTAGTATTTGGTCCAGGACAGTGCTGTATAGTGGAGCTTGTATTTTGCTCTCCTGAGTCTGAGTGACAATGAGAAGCTTATTCTTAGAGCATTCCTCACATTCTGCTGAAATACAAGACATCTCCCTCTGACGGGCTGTGCCCAGGACCAGAGGAACCTCCATAGTCTTATTTAGTTTATTCGTCTCACAGTGGGGAAATGTTGATTTCATCGCTGCGCACATTACATCAGAAATGAAGGAAATAAAAGACTCACGTTGCACACATCAAACAGGATGTAATTATAGAATATAGTATTCTATAATAAAATTATAGAATATAGAAGAAAAAAGCATAGCACTGCATTGAAGACATGCAGGTGAAACTCTGACAATTGAAATATTGTTCAAAAGTTGGTTTTCCACTTGTGTGGATGATTCGGGCTTACAGTTCAGAGGTTGTATTTGGGGTTTTTGAATCTGTAAGAAATAAAGGCTCGATATACAGTGGCCCTTTATTCTTCACGGTGGTTACTTTCTAAAAATAACCTGTTTATTCAGAATCAGAATCAGAATCAGAATCATTTTTATTGCCAACGTAAGTAACGGGAGGTCACAGACTTGGAAATTGCTTTGGCTCAGTGCAACAGTCAAAAAGAGATAATAAAAATAAGAATAAAAAACACTTCTAAAGAATAAATTTAAATTTAAAATAGAGTTACAGTTACTATTTACAATATACAAGTGCACATGGTGCACACAATGTAAGGTGACAGCAGTACAGTGAAGTAAAGTGACGTATGATGGGCAGTAAAGTGACTTTATAAAGGGCGGGGGGACAGGTTAAGAAGTGTTCAAGAGTCCAACAGCAGAGGGGAAGAAACTGTTCTTGTAGCGGGAGGTTCTAGTCCTGATGGACCGCAGCCTCCTGCCTGAGGGGAGTGGTTGGAATAGTCCATGTGCAGGGTGAGAGGGGTCGGCTGTGATACGACCAGCCCGGCCTCGAGCTCGGGCGACGTACAGGTCCTGCAGCGATGGAAGGCTGCGGCCGATCACTTCCTCTGCAGAGCACACAATGCGCTGTAGTTTGTCCCTGACTGTGGCTCCAGCGAACCACACGGTGATGGAGGAGGTGAGGATGGACTCGATGATGGCCGTGTAGAACTGCACCAACATCTGTGCAGGCAGCTTGGCTTTCCTGAGCTGCCGCAGGAAGTACATCCTCTGCTGGGCCTTCTTGATGAGGGAGCTGATGATCGGCTCCCACTTGAGGTCCTGGGTGATGGTGGTGCCCAGGAAACGGAAGGACTCCACAGAGGTGATGGGGGAGTCCATCACGGAGGGTGGGGGCGGGGGGACAGTGCTCTTCCTGAAGTCCACAATCATCTCCACTGTCTTCTGGGCGTTCAGCTCCAGGTTGTTACCACTGCACCAGGACACCAGCCGGTCCACCTCCCTCCTGTAGGCGGACTCATCGTTGTTGGAGATGAGTCCAATGAGGGTGGTGTCGTCCGCGAACTTGATCAGCTTCACGGAGTCGTGGCTGGAGGTGCAGTGGTTGGTGTACAGGGAGAAGAGCAGGGGAGAAAGAACACAGCCCTGTGGGGCTCCTGTATTTATAATCCGAGAGTCCGAGACATTCTTCCCCAGACGCACTCGCTGCTTCCTGTCCGTCAGGAAGTCAGTGATCCACCTGCAGGTGGAATCGGGCACGTTGAGCTGGGAGAGCTTGTCCTGGAGCAGGGATGGCAGGATTGTGTTGAAGGCAGAGCTGAAGTCCACGAACAGGACCCTGGCGTAGGTCCCCGGGGAGTCCAGGTGCTGTAGGATGTGGTGGAGGGCCAGGTTAATGGCGTCGTCTACAGATCTGTTGGCTCTGTAGGCGAACTGCAGGGGGTCCAGGAGGGGGGAGGTGAGGGACTTGAGATGGGAGAGAACCAGGCGTTCAAATGACTTCATGACGACAGACGTAAGTGCTACAGGTCTGTAGTCATTGAGTCCTGTGATCCTGGGCTTCTTCGGGACGGGGACAATGATGGAGGATTTGAAGCAGGCCGGGACATGGCAGGACTGCAGAGAGGAGTTGAAAATGTCCGTGAACACAGGAGTAAGCTCACTGGCGCAGTGTCTCAGAGTGGCCGGAGACACGTGGTCCGGGCCAGGAGCTTTGCGGGGGTGCAGCCTCAGGAAGAGTTGTTTAATCTCTTTAGCGGCTATTGTTAGGAGTTCATTAGTTTGTTTGGCCCTATGCGGCAGGAGGTGGTGGTTGCGAGGTGTGACTCCTACAGAACAACTGCTTGCGAGGCTCGGGAAAAGGAGTTAGATGTTGGGAGTCAGAATCAGAATCCTTTTATTGCCATGTGAGTAACAGGAAGTCACAAACTAGGAAATTGCTTTGGCTCTCGGTGCAAGTGGAAGTTTCCGCTTTTAACCAGCTGCTTAAGTGACGTAGGTTGGCAGCACTGCGTGGCTGAGGGTGAAGGCTTTGATGGGCTGCAGCAGGGAGATTGAATCTTTATTGATCTCACTATGGAGAAATTCAAGTTTAATGAAAAAATATCAAGGCTGGCTGCGTAACATACTTCTGCACTCCTCATTTATTCATCCAACTTGATATTCTCCATTGTCAGATCAATAAAGTATATCTCATCTCAGTCTGCGCAGGCTTCATTACTACTACATTATTACGTATTTGATTCATCTGACAGCTCTGATAATTCACTAGCTTCTTTACCTGCTGCTGATGTTACTATTGTTTATCCTGGTCATATTCTGTACTGCTGAAGTACAAAACCAACCGTGTGTAAATACCTCCTTCTCACTACTACAGTGAATACTCCACAAGTGACTCCAGAGTTTTATTATCTTAAATAATGGATCCTGTTTGATGTGTGCTCTTATTTTCAACCTTCATTCTGCCGTAACGATGGTATTGGCATTTCCCCACTGACGAATAAAGATTTATCTTTAATTAGATATAAGTACAATGCCTACATTGTAAAAGACAGTGGCAGAGTACACCGCCCTGAGAGGCAGGACTGAGGCCGCGGTAGTACTCTGAACTAATCCCTGCGATGCCCATAAGCCACAAACGTTTTCTTCTGTCAGGTCGAGTTAGTAGAAATGGAGACAAAGTCAGTGGTCAGAGAAGCCGGGAGGGGGGGGCTTCATTTGTTCTCTCATACTCGCACAGATCCTGCTAAAAACAACTGAGCGTGTGAACAAAACAAAAGCAGAGACAGAAAGTGTGAAAAGTTGCATCTTATCCCATTTTTTAAAAATCCTTTGTTCTCCACGACACGGCAGGTGGCCATCCCTGTGGTGTCTGTGAGGCTGGTGAAGAAGCACAAGACCGCAGGCCTGGTGCCCAATGGACTGGCCATCACCACGGACAGCGGGCAGAAGGTGAGCTTTGATTAAGACGAAGAGATCCTTTATGGTCGTCGCACAGTGGGGAAATTTCAGTGTTGCATCACCAGTTACAGAACAGAAACACAATCTCTAGCTTTAGCATGATAAAGAAGCAAGTATAAAATCTCTCTAGCTTTAGCCTGATACAGACTCAAGTATAATGTTCTAGTGGAAGACATATATAGTTTTATGTTTATATCTGTACATGTTAGCAGCACGAGGAATAAAGGATTTGATCACAGCGTTTTGGTTTTACAAGACTCTATGTTGAGACTAACGAAGCGCAATAGTAAATATTCACATTCCATTATTCAGCGGGACGATTAAAGTGTTTGAAAGTCATGGCTCAACCCCAACTGTAAGAGTTATAAGTGTGACCACTGTGGCCGACGGCTATAACCAGCTCACACACTGAGCACACTTGACCCAAATGTTTTTACAAACATCCACACAGGAGCACTTGGAGCAGAAGACTTCAAATTTCAGATCCTGTTCTTTGATAGAGTGATATACAGTATAGATACTTTATTGATCCTCGTAGGAGAAATCCAGGTGTCCAGAAGTAGCACAAACACATCCATCCATACAAAATAAACAAATAAATAGGTTCTTCTAAAAAAGGGCTAACAATGGTATTAAAAATGCAACAGCACTTTTTTCACAACAGCAGAGATGGAGCAGCCGATGGGTTCGAGCCATTTTCTTTGCTCCTGACACTAATGGGACACTTGTAAAATGGAGAATGGTCCAAGCAACAACTATAATTTCTGCTCTGGACACAGTGTCCTCTGTCTCAGCGCCCAGGCATTCTACACAAAAGTGACCAAACAAAACATTTAAGAGAGCAAGAGAGACCAGAGAAAGAGCCCAGAGTGAGAGAAACCAGAGGGAGAGGCCAAAGAGAGAGAAACCAGAGAGAGAGAAACCAGTGAGAGAGGCCAGAGAGAGACCTGATAGAGAAACCAGAGTGAGAGGCCAGAGACAAAGACCAGAAAGAGAGAGATCGGAGAGACAGAGAGAGGCCAAAGAGAGAGGGAGTCCAGAGAGAGATCAGAGAGAAAGATTAGAGGGAGAGAGAGAGACCTGAGCGAGATTAGAGAGAGATACAAGAGATAGAGACCAGCAAGATAAGACCAGAGAGAGAGATGATCAGACAGCCAAAAAAAATCTGGGTTTTTTCTTTTGAATAATCTCATACTTATTACTAACAGACAGGCTGTAGATCTGAGGCTGTGCGGTGCAGACCAGTTGGGACAGCGGGTGAATAGCAATGAACAGACTACAGCTGAAGTTATAATGATGACAGAGAAAGTAAAGGATAATAAAGTCTGTGTCAAATGGCATCTTCCATTGTCCCTGATGGAAGATGCGAAACAGCCATCCAGGGACCTCTCCTGGATTGACAAGTTGATTTGTGAAGCTGGGCAGGTTATTTATTGGCTGTCAGCTGGAGACATTTACAACAGAGAGACTGAGGGACACTGGAAAAACTGCTCTCCATCATGGACAATCCAGCACATCCACTTAATTTAATGTAAAATACTATGCGAGCTACTGTGACAACGCAAATTCCCTTGTGGATCAATAAAGTCTATCTAACCCTTAAGTCTGTTTGTTCACGATGATTATTCTGAATCTGGTAAAATTCATTGAGTGATGTGTTGCTTTGTTGTGTTGCAGTGCGTGTTTGTGTCGCTGCTCTCCAGAGACAGTGTGTACGACGTTCTGAGGAGGATCTGCACCCACCTGCAGGTCTCACACACCTCCACACACACTGTTTACACACCGCACTCCTGTCTGACCAGTTTTGGCCAAGAGTCCGTGCTCCAAGCAAAGAAGCTCGAGTCTCGTGACGCTTTCAAAGGCGTCTCGTAGCTTTGCCACAGCACTCAAACCGTCATCGCATGCATACATTAAAACACAAAATGTACTCATACTCATTCAGAAGGTTTAGCTATATGTAAAGTCTGTGTCTGTTCTGTTCAAATAAGTAAATAATGTTCTTTGCTTAAGTCTGTATTGTTTCTGGGTTTGTGTGCAGGTGAATGGGAAGAGTCTGAGCCTGAAGCAGCTGATGGAGGAGCCCACCCTGTCTCTGGTCAGTCTGCTTCTCTCACATATTTCACATGTAGTTCAGAGGAGGAAGAGGAGGAAGAGGAGGAGGTCACTTTAGATGTGCCATTGTGTCTTCCTCGAAGGTCCTGCTCCTCTGTGCCCCCTCCCAGCTCTAAGCGTGAGCGGAGGGCGAATAGCAATGTTGATTATTCTGAATCTGGTAAAATTCATTAAGTAATGTGTTGTGTTTTTGTGGTTTGTTTTGTTGTTAAAACTGTTAGAATTCAAAGGAACATCAATAGTATCTAGTTCGATTGAAACTATCATCAGGAACCTAGACTAAAGAGATTATATTCTCAAAAAGCAAAGGGTAAGGAGTGCTGCATGGTACAAGTGTGTAAAATTATTTAAAAAGACCAGGTGCTCAATTGGAAGAGGGGTTTAACTTAGTAAAATCAAAAAAATCCAAGGCACTCGTGGTCAGTAGTTTAGAAAAGTTTAAAAAGCCTTTATTTTCTCATGGCTGTGGATTAAAATTCCAACGCGTTTCAAAATAAAGAAAATAAAGGCTTTTTAAACTTTTCTAAACTACTGACCAAGAGTGCCTTGGATTTATTTTGATTTTCTAAGTTCTTCACCATTTGCTTTTTACCTGGAAAGTCAAAACTAAATTTTTGGATAAAGAGATATGTTGGCTTGCCTTTTACATTCTAGAATAAATGATACTAAAACAGACAGCTGAACTAAACTAAACAGCTGAACTCTTTCTGATGAAGGAGTGTCTAAGGGCAGTAATGATCCTGGACATTTATGGACAGTGGTCAACATCCAAAGGCTCCAATGTGTTTGTCATTTTTGCATTTCCTGTGTTTGATTCTCTGATCTGTGTTGATGAATCCACAACTTTGTAAAGTCCTCAGAGACGACTGCTGCTGTGATTTAGGACTATACACAAATAAATTGATTGTGTCCTGTGATCTTGGTGGACAGGATGAGTTCCCGGCTGCAGATGAGTTCTCTGCGGTGCAACAGTTCCCGGTGCTGAAGTGGAGGAGGAAGCCTTCCGCTGTGTCCGTGTCCTCGTCCCTCCCTGACCTGCTGGGGACCTCAGCAGGCGGCCTGTCCTCTCCAGATGTACCCTTCAAACCAGAACCTCCGCTGGAAGGTGCGTACACAGGGGACACAAACTCAGTGTGTGTGTGTGTGTTTGTGTGTGTGTGTGTTTTAGCTGAAGTCCAAGGCCCTCTCTACAGAACCACACTTATGATCAGCCATATTAGATCAATCAGAGAGAGACCAGAGAGAGAGACCAGAAAGAGAGACCAGAGATAGACCAGAGAGAGACCAGAGAGAGAGACTAGAAAGAGACAAGAGAGACTGAAGAGAGAGAGACGAGAGACAAGAGAGAGACAAGAGAGAGACCAGAGATAGACCAGAAATAGACCAGAGAGAGACCAGAGAGAGACCAGAGAGCGACCAGAGAGCGACCACAGAGATCTGATTTGCAGTGTTCCAATGTGGTTTTACTGCAAATGGCCTTTAGACCTCTTTTTATGTTTGCTGGGACCTTTAGACTTCTTTTAGATGTATACTGTGGCCTCTACCCCTCAGACGCAGTGGTGTTGTGCTCAGATGGCGGTAGTATGAGCACACAGAGCCTCTGCTTTTGGGCAGGACAGTCACTCTTATGTAACATCTCATTAAGCTCAAATGGAGATGGAATCGTGCAGAGCTGCTATAAACAGCTTAGGTCCGTGTAGATTAAAGACAGATTATCACAACAACGTGGCCTTGGAGCGCTCTGAGGACACTTCCAGAACACCGCACGCTGATTTAGTTATTTAGTCATATTTTATATACACTCAGTCATTCTATCATATCCTTTAGATTCATATCCTACTACATTTCTCTGTGTTGGGGGCTGGCAATCAGAGCTGTCACAGCACGAGCCCCTCTCTCCATCAGCAATGACAGGGCCTGGGTCTTTCAGCGGGGGGGACTTCAGACATCAGGATGTGTTAGACTGTCTGATTCACTTCCTGTTTTTAAGACTCACTCGTTCTCATTGGTTTTTAATGGATTTTATATTCTTGATTTTTTGCTGTAAATAGCGTGTTTTTGCCGCTGCGTTGTGTTTTCTAATTGTATTTTTTTGTGTGCCTCTATGAAAAAAACTCTGGACTGGACTGCACACGTCTTGTGGGGTGATTGAACCCACAATCATTAGATCCAAAAACCAACTGAGTGACTCTTGCCCCACACTCAGTCTAAAGGTTTCCTCTGCGTGCTTCGGTTTCCTCCGTGTGCTCCGGTTTCCCCTACCACTAAAAACATGGCAATACGTGTGGCCTTCGCCTTCTGAATGGCGACCCCATGCAACAATTAAAAAGCACTTTGTGACTCTGATCTGTGATATAAACAAAAATTACTTACTAAAATATACAGTAGGACAAAATGGTTTGTCTGCAGGTGACCATCTCTAAGAGTCTCAGGCAGCCATTTTAATGGCGAGCGCGCAATTACATTTCTACCTGTTTCCACAGGTAACGACTTTCAACTTAGAGACTGGCATTTTCCATTTAAGAAGCGCAATAGATTCAGAACATGACTGAAACCATAACGTATTTGTTTTTAATGAGGTCTTTGTTTCTTTAACAGGGAACATTAGGGTTAGCAACAGATCATTTGGTTAAGTTTCGGGTTAGGGACTGATGAAGGTTCGAGGTGGGAACAGGGTAAGGGCTTGTCCTACAACAATCTTAACATTTCAAAGCCTGGATTCAAGAGCCATAGGTCATAGATGATTATATTATACAGAACAGAATCACGTCCCTTTTAACCCTTGTTCTGCCCTTGTGTCTAAATGACCCACGGATGATTTATGACCCAAAATTATGGTCTGAAAGGGTCTAGATGACACAGGACTGGTCAAAATAGGAACAATTAAAACTATGGCATTTCATGTTTTGGATTTTTTTCAGGGGCACTATGGTGAACCACATTTGACAAAAGATTTTCTGAAATTTAATGTCAAAGCAATTATTAGACAGAAGACCGTTCAATATCGTTAGGATTTGGGCGTTTCGTGCCAGGTCCTGATATTAGTGTGGATGTTGGTTCGGTTTTGTTTGTTTGTGATGATAGAATTTTGACGCCAGAACATAATACGTGTTCTTTAAGTTCTGACGAGCTGTTGTGTTGCAGAGCGCCCCCTGCAGGCAGACAGAGGCCTCTTATCGGAGCCTGGACTGGAGTTGGGGCAGATGGAGTACCAGCTGCTCAAGGTCTTTACCCTGCTGTGAGTGAGACACACAAAAGCACACACACATCAACATGCACACTAAAACACACAATTACATACCATGACACACACTCCCACCCACACATCATGTGCGTGCACTCATTTTCTTTCTCATACCCACACACACGTTCATTCACAAATCAGTTTTTGTAATATTGCATGTTCAGTTCTTAAGTTCCTTTTTTAAACTTATTATTTGCTGCCGGGTCGTGGGGACAGCAGTCTGAGCAGAGATTCCCAGACTTCCCTATCCACACACACTCACACACACTGACTCGCATACACACGTGGACACATACACATATACACATGCACACACACACTGACTCACATATACACACTGACACACATGTGCACCAAGCCCCAGCGATCCAAGATGGCGTCCTATTCAAATGCATGGCTTGTGCTCAGTAGCACATGGGACATTCATGGGCGCAGAAAGATTAGCAGAACTCATCCATATTTGAGCATCGTCTGGTCCTCCCGGTTCTGCGCAGTGGACGAGCTGGACAAGCAGAGTTTGTGGCATTAAAGTGTGGATTTAAAGAAAACCAAAGGATTCCACAATAAAAAAGTTCTGTAAAATCTGACCTTTATGAAAGCTGTAGGTTCTCTGTCAGCTGAGGTCGAGATGTTTCAGTTTACATTGAGTTCTATGGGAATATTCTGGGTAGCCCACTTGAATTTCGTCTGCTGTACCTCGGGCGCCCCCTGTGCTCATTGGTAGGACAGCTATAAGCTAGTAATACTCTATCCAGATATTATAATAGATCCATGACGCATAGACACACACGCACACGCACACACACACACACACACGCGCACACACATACTTTGTCCCCTGCAGCTGCTGACTCACTCATCTGTAAACAGGGCAAACAGAGGAGAATATTTTTAGCCTTTTTTCGCTTAATTAAGAGGATTCATCACAAGACGTGAGAGCTGTCCTTGACCTCTCATGTGCTCTGACGCCACAGGAGGCTGCAGCTGCTCTGGACTGGCCCTTGTTCTCATAAAAGCACCGCTGCAGGTTCATGGGAGGCAGAAGGAACAGACAGATGCATGTAAAGCTGATCCAGGGTCAGTATTTAAGCAGATCTGGACTGGACAGGCTGATGTTAGCCTCCCTGACGTAGTTACAATCTATATGAATGTAAAATATGAATGTTTTGTTATCTGTGAATGGTCTTTGAAATCAACTCTGTAACAAGTCCTGATGTTCACGGCTCATGCAGCAATCAACAGCACCAGTACAAGTAATTTACCAATGAAGGGACAAGCGATTTATTTGTAGTTTTTACTTTTGCCTTCTCCTTCTGATCTCTCTACAGCACTCAAAACATTGGTCAGACACATAAACACATTAAAATAAGAACAAAACTGCTTAAATGTAAAAAATATGTTGATCCTTATCAGAACTTGTAGCCGTCCAGAACCTGTCCTATTAACTTAGTGCTGTGCGTAGATACAGTAGGTAGATCGACATCCATCCATAAAAACAAAACAAATAAATAGATCATTCTAAGGGTAGCTGACAATAATATTAAAATACAACAGCAGCAGAGGTGGAGGAGCCGCTTGGTTCGGACCATTTTCTCTGCTCTGGTCCAAAATAAAATGCTAAACGCATTGTTAGCATTTTTCCTCCAGTGGATTTTTGGCTGATCCGCTTGGTTCGGACCATGAATCCTCTCTGCTCTGGTCTGGACCAGTGTAAAACCATGAACACTGACAGAAAAAAGCCAGAAAAATAACAATTGTAAAATACGAAACAACAGCTGTTTCAGAGATACTTGGGACTTGCTGTCGTTTTCAGCGCATTCAAAAATAAGTAATATTTAGGGTGACATTTTAAATATTGTCTCTGTGGTGTTAAAATTGGTAAAATGTAGTCTAGGATTGAAAATAATACACGTTTTTGGATCAGCAGTGATTACGTCAAGAAAAAGAATGATGTGATTCGAGAGACAAAGTCAAAACAAGAAAATTGAATTCTCAAAGTAAACACGTTGGTCCCCGCTAAAAGTGTATTTTAATGATATTTCTCAGTTCCTCTGTTCGCTCTCGATGCAAAGCTCGTCTGGCAGTGGTCTGGGGTTTGGGGGAAAAGCACAGAAGACAAAATGATGGGCTCCATGTTTACGTGAGGAAGTATGCGACGGTTCTTATGGCCTCTGTGTCGTTTACTACACACTGTCTGGAGGGAAATACAAAAGATGAATTCATAATCAAGTGTGGCTCTTTCCTAAACATACAGAAAATATTCAGAGTTTATAGGGTCATACACAGTCCAGCAGTTCGGGGTTTGTAAAGTATCTTAATAACAAGGAGCAATCTTTTTTAAAAACTTATTTACAAAAGACAAAAGACCATAAACAGTTCATAAATATACAAACCACAATACACGGTCGGGAAAAGGGTTGGACAAAGCAGACTTTATTATAAATCTTCTTCAATCACAACAGACCAGGTCCAGGCTTTTGATCAGACATGTCCAAATCAAGGGGACGGTGGCTGAGTGGTTAGCAATCCTCAGCAAGAACGTCCTGGGTTTGAATCTCAGTCGGAATAGAGTCTTACTGAGTGAGTTTGTTCTCCCTGTGTCCGCATAGGTTTCCTCTGTGTGCTCCGGTTTTCTCTGCCGTTAAAAACATGTACAATAGGTAAAACTGTACAACACTGACCTGGGGTTGGTCAGCTCTGGTCCTGACCCACCCGAGGACCAACATCTGGATATAGGTCCCGATCGAGGCCCTTGTGGAAGATGAGTCAGATGCAGAGTTTCCTCACGGGATATTAAAGTATAGCTTCAGTTGTACTTTATTATCCCGTAAGGAAACCTGTTAAAGAGCACTCAGGTTTGGACACATCAGACTCAGGGCGTGTTGGAGGGACTCAGTCTGGGCGTTTCTGCTCAGACACCGGGCCCTGCGACGGATAAAAAGATAAATTATGTGGTTTAAGGACTTGACTTTAAGTAATTTTCTTATCCTCATTCTTAATTCCTGGATAGACTTGTTCCTCTCTTGCCTGGTCTGAACACCCTCACACTTATATTATTAATTACTAAGGGAAATGATAATTGACCCAAGTTTTAAGGCTAGGCTAGTTCCTCTCAGGCTGCACTGATGGTCATTACTTCTGATGTTATTCTCAAGATCATCAAGATCCCGTCAGTTTTTTATAACCATCCGCTTCATTATTAATTCTCACTACCTTCTTTTGTAATAGAAACACAGGCTCCTATTTGTTTTGTCGGCATCTGCCCAAATGTAATGGTCGTCCAGCAAACGTATCTGCTGTGTGTGTGTGTGTGTGTGTGTGTGTGTGTGTGTGTGTGTGTGTGTGTGTGTGTGTGTGTGTGTGTGTGTGAAGGACGTGCTGCTGTCGCCCCCTTGTCTCCAGTGACGGTATTGCATGTGTGCTGATAAAAATATTCATAGCCCAAACTGGGCTACTCTATATGAGATGGTATAATTTTTTTTTTTTACAGGAACATTAGCCAAAAGAAGATTTGTACCCGGTTGTAGCTGGAGGGCTAGTTTACATCTGTAGTCCCTGCACAATTTTAACAATTTTACTGTTTTTATAATATTTTAGCAACTTATTTGTTATGTACCTGTGACTGTTTGAATGAGAGCAGCCGGCAACAATGTAATATCCTTCAGAATGAATAAAGTTTTTCATATCCTTACCCTAATTGAGCGAAACAAAAGTAGATGGAAACGCAAACATACACTATCAGACAGAAATGACAATTTAATTTACCATAAGTTATTGTAATTAAACTACCCAGCCTCCATTCTTCACTGACACACACACACACACACACACACACACACACACACACACACACACACCTGGCTGGGGATAAAAATCGACATGAAAGGAAAAGCTTAGAGGTTTTGTTATTAGGTATTGGCTCTTATTATAGGTGATTTCTTATGAATTCTTGGTAATAACTTTGAAATTCTTTATTATTGATTGGTAGATACTGTAGATTATTGATCCGTTGGAGAGATTCAGGTGTCCAGTAGTAGCAGATTGTGAGTGAACACTGGGAGTCATCTTTCTGGAATTGAAGTGTTTTATTGTCAAAACTCATGATGAATTTTTGAAAAAAAATTCAGACACTAAAACTAGATTATTTGATGAACTTCTATTAATAGTATTTTCACATGAAGTCCATCACAACCTCAACGATGGAGGTGCAGCAGCGTGACGTCGTTCTCTCCATGTTTTTCTATAGATCCTCCCTTTGTTGGAGACTTTTTATACCCTGAATTCTTCTGTTTCTCACTTTTTTACCGCTGGGTATTAGAGATTTTCCTTGCTGATGCAGGAGGGTCTGTTAGGCTGTTACAAGGTTAAAAGTACAGAAATAAAACAAACAAAACAGTTGACAATTGTCACTGTGAAATCAACTGACTAAAACAGTTTCAGTACAAAGGAAAGATTATTTAGCTTTACTGCATCTCAATGAATGATATCTTCTGCCAGAGGGAAGAAGCTGGAACATGGCTTTTCTGGGGCCAGAAGAGTCATTGATTATTAATATTAAAAATAATTTCAACGGTTTTGTTAAGTCCTCTGAGATAACTACTGTTGTGATTTGGGGCGATACAAGAATAAATTGAATTGTTTGTTGTCAGGACATCCATAACAAGAACAGGTTTTCATTCAGACGCCTTTTAAATCGTTCAAAAAGAACTCTGATGATATTACAATTTGCACTAGATATCTCTGCCCTGTGCTGCTCAAAAAAACTGCCCCTGGTGGGATAAATAAAGTCTGAATCTGAAAACTAGTGGCACTCATGAAAGCAGCATATGCCGTTTTCTTCCTACATAACCAGGCTTGGTGATAAAGTGCTATGTGCTGTGTGCAGGATCGTCCTCCTCATCCTGTCGTCCTGTTACCTGGCCTTCAGAGTGTGCAGTCTGGAGCAGCAGCTGTCCTTCCTGACACAGCCCACTCTGCCTCTACAGGACAGGTGACCAGCTCCGCCCACCTCCTCACAGCTCCTCACAGCTCCCCACAGCTCCTCCCAGCTCCTCACAGCTCCTCCTAGCCCCTCTCAGCTCCTCCCAACTCTGCCACATCTACATAAAAAAAGCCCTTGTCTATACTTCACTAAAAACTATTTGCCGCCGTAGAAAGTCTCATTGTTCAGGATGGTGCACAAACATATGTCCAGACAGTTCAGTTCATACACAAAGAAAGAAAACATTAAAATCACACGAGGCATTCAAATATTGATCCTCTTTTAAATATAGATAGATACTGTACTTTATTGATCCCCGTAGGAGAAATCAGGTGTACAGTAGCAGCAAAAATGAAAAATAAAATTGATAATTCTAAAAAGATTACATTAGTTCATAATCAGCAACAGCCCTTCTGGTCACAGCAGAAGAGGTGGAGTAGGACGGGTCACAAGGTGGAGCAGCCGCTTGGTTCGGACCATTTTCTCTGCTCTAGTCCAAAGTGAAATGCTAAATGCTTCATTAGCATTTTTCAAAAAGTTAGCATTCCTCTGGTGGATTTTCGGCTGATCTGCTTGGTTCAGACCAGGAATCCTCTCTGCTCTGGTCTGGACCAGTGTAAAACCATGAACACTGTACTGCAGCAACATCTCAGGTAGAAAAAAGCAATAAAAATAAAAATTGTAAAGCACAAAACAACAACTGTTTCAGAGCTACTTAGGACTTGTAGCCATTTTCCAGCGCATTCAAAAGTAAAAAATAATATAGATCCTCTTTCAAATATAGATATTATGATTAAAGTACAAAGCAGAACACTATGATTAATAAATAAAGTGGGTTACCATGACTCTAATGAACTGTTCATAAAATCTAATACATATAACAGAACCCTTGGTCACACTTTAGTTTAGCCCTTACTAATTAAGTGCCAATAAGTGTGAAATGCATCTTATTTGGTATGTGTTAACTCATTGACTGCCATTGACGTATTTGTCTGAGACGGGTGATTTCTGTCAAACTTCCCTTCAACTGGGCATTACGGAAGAACAAAACTAGCTAAAAACAAACATATTTTTGCTGATTAAAGTAGACAATGCAGTGTTTCAGAATCTGGTTTCATATTTCACATCGTCATAGCACATAATATTCTGTGGGTCTTGAGAATCAGTGAAATCATCAAAAACGGCTGTCAATCAATGAGTTAAGCTCTTATTATAGTCCTACACGGTCTTAGTCAACATTTAACTAACTACTAATTGACTCTTAGTAATGCAGGACAGAGCATTACGCTAACCGGTCGGAACGGGGTCTTTCTGAGTGGAGTTTGCATGTTCTCCCCGTGCTTGTGTAGGTTTCCTCCAGGTACTCCGGTTTCCCCTACCACTAAAAACTTGCACACTAGGCTAAATCCTCCAGCTCTGGTAGTCCTGACCAAGCCGAGCATCAACATCTGGACATGGGTTCCCGGGCGCTGTTACTACGGCGACCACTGCTCCTGACGTAAGCCTTAGCGGCATCAGGATGGGCCAAATGCAGAGGATTGAATTGCCCTACGGGGATCAATAAAAGTGCACCCTTAAAAAAAATAAGAAATCAATATTATTTTCTTATTTTCATTGTATACTTGACCAACACACACCAGCGCCACTTCATCTTTGACCTGTAGTGATTATAAATGTGTGTGTGTGATAGCATTCGCAGCTAGCTCAGAGACACCGCAGCTAATCCGTATTTTGTATTCTTGAGTTTCATATGACGTCAGGGCAGTGGCATGAATAACAAACGTGCGTACCCTGCCGGTGCAGTCTGCTGGGTATATACACGGGGATATAGTAGAAGAAGAAGCGCTGTCAAAATGCCATCTTTTTGAGAGATTCCATGGCTTTCAAGTGGAGCAAAACTGGGTTGTCCCACTTTTGCTCATTTGCCCCCTACTGGCCAGTTTAATGAAACCCAAGAATATTTTGTGTGTGCTCTCCCTGCGCGCTCTTACTAGTGTCCTAATTTCCCCTCTGTGGGACAAATAAAAGTTCTTATCCTTATTTTTATTCTTTTTTTGTGTGTGACCCGGCCGCAGGTAACCCTCGCCCCCGGCCCCTGTGACCGTGCTGCAGACTCAGCCCTGAGCACGAGGACCTTCTACAGACGTCATGATCACTTCACTCTATGCAAACAGACTCGTGCTATGAATGTGAAAGAACCCAACATGTACTTACTGTGAATTTATTTTATACATGTGTCCTTCTACATCAGGGGTCTCCAACCTGTGGTTCGGGAGCTACCAGGACACTGCAAAAAATGATGTAATATGGGGTAAAAAAAATTGCTTGAATTGAGTGGTTTTTAGTCTTGATTTGAGTAAATTCTGACTGCGTTAAAACAATGGGATAAAACCGACATTTCAAGATATATTGCTTTATTTTTTAATTCCAAAAGAGACATTTCTTGTATCTTTTTAAAACAATATCCTTTTGCTTTGTCCTATTGTTAAATCTTGTTCTAAAGCAGACAACATGTGCTGAAATTATAGCCGTTTCTGACTTATTAATCATCACTTTTTGCAGTGTAGATCGCCATCCCCTTTCAGGTAGCTCCCCAAAGGATCCAAAAATGTAACAAATGATCCTGAATCATTCACTTTTGAGTCAATACTACTTTATCCATCTATCTGAGCTCTTCTCTCTTCATGAGCAGGGATACTGTGCAGTGATGTGATATATTATGCATGTGTTCTCCAGGATTGGCTGTCGTTATTATATAGACTACAATTTTATCACAAATACTAATGGAGTAGCTCTCTGCATTTTCTGCTTGAGGAAAGTAGCTCTCCAATCGAAAAAGTTTGGAGACCCCTATTCTGCATCAACTTAAAGCTGGGGTACCTCACTTCTAGAAAAACACAAATCCTGCAGAAGGAAAATCTCTGTTTTCCACCGCAGTACATTTGGGGTAATTTTCCAGGGCCAGCCCCGTCGGTGTGTGGTGTGTGTCTCCACTATAGGATCCTCCCCCACTGTAGGATCCTCCCCCACAGGGCCATTTACGGGAACTTTTACGGGGCCCAGTGTACCCACTAACCTGGCGCTGATTGGCTAAAGCTAGAGCAGGCACTGACACCAACAGAAAACACCAAAACAAACAGCATTCTTAAAATCCTGCAACATTAGCCTAGCATTAGCCTAGCATTAGCCTAGCAGACACCACTGGAAACAGCAAACAACAACAGAATGTACGTTAAATGGATGGATATTCAGATGGGGTTTGAGGCATCACGGCGAAATGAAAAAGTAAAATCAGCTTCGAAGCACCGGGGATTCATCACACTCAGAAATACTGCAGAGAAAAGTTTAAAAATAACTGAAGCAGGACTATAAAAAAACTCAAAGACCACAACTACCTGAGCGGGTCCGACCGTAAAATAAATAATTATTAATTACGCAGCGATCAAAACTCATCCAACGTCACCGAGGCGTCCTACTCTGCAGTGGAGACACGGCCAATGAGAGGACGGCTCCTGTAGAAGTCCCACCCCCTCCTTTTACCAGGAACTCCTGCGGTGGAAACAGGACTAATGTTATCTTTTGTGTTTGAAAGATCCCTGTGAGTCACTATTTGACGCTTTGGGCTGAGAGCTGATTGGCTGAATGAGCGTGGTCCTCTCTTTTTCACTTTTCAGACATACACAAACTATAATCAAAATCCATGTCACTGGTTCCTGGCTCTGAAACCAAGAGAAAGTTGTGTACCCCAGCTTTAAGAAACACCCTTCATTCATGTGAAAAAGATACTTGAAAGATTGAGGTAATATTTTAAATTCCAACAATCAAATGGTGAGAAAATGAAAACGCACTTTTCCATAAATGTGATGTACCTTCACCTGAATGTGACCTGCAGTATTTTGGTACTTTATTTGAAAATCTCTTGTGATTGTACATACATTATATTTGCTATAATGTGACAGATATGATTGATGCATACGGTATTACAGTAGTTGGATTAACTCAGTGTGTTTTATGTGTTGACGTTACCAAAGACTTTCAACGAGGCCTGTCGCACTCACAAATGCAGCGATAGTATTTTTATCAGAAATATTGTCCTGGTTCCGTATTTTTCGGATTATAAGTCACAGTTTTTAGTCATAGTTTGGCCGGGGGTGCGGCTTATACTCTGGAGCGGTTTATGTGTGAAATTATTACATTATATATTTTGTTCACCATGAAATATCAAATAATAGCCTGGGATATTAAGTGGAGCGATTAAGCCAGACACGTCCAAACTCAGGCCCGTGGACCAATCACGGCCCTCTGTGTCAATATATGTGGCCCTCTGCTGCTAACTCAAATTAATTTAAATGTGACATTTTCTGTGGGACATTTTAGATTCAAGAATACAGTCAATTCAGCTCAAATCCAGTTTTTTATATCCAGGTTGTCGGCCCCTGGTAAAGTCTGATAAACTAAAGTGGCCCTCTTACTAAAAATTTTGGACACCCCTGAGCTATTAACAAGATCCCAAAGAATGAAGACATACACCGGGACTGAAAACCATTGTGCAATTTCGGACCATAGCTTTTGTTCTGTTCTAGAAATCAACTTTGTTTTGTTTGTATGACCTACATTATTGCTCCTGTTCTTTATCAAAACTGTATCTCACAGACTCCAGATGAAATGTCTGTTCTTTGTGTTGGATTTGATCAATTCCATTTCCTCCCAAAAAATGCGACTTCTATATGTTCATTTCCTTCTTCATTAAACACTTTCGGCTGCTGCGACTTATACTCCGAAAAATACGGTACCTTGAATTATGAGCGAGACATGAAGTGAAAATAACTTATTACGCCAATTTGGCTTATTTAAAGGAACTGTATTTCAGGGCAGCAAGAAGAATTATAATTTATGTTGACACAATTGTGCAAATGACAAATAGTGCAGTTTTTCAAGTCCTTTGCAGACTCAGTAACTGTAAGTACGGTTTATTTATATACAGCACTTTCCCAGACCACGGTCATCAAAATGGACCTCGAGTTGTTTTTGGGACCATCCCAACTATTATCAACTGATACTAAGAATCACAATCAGAGTTGTTTTTATTGCCAAGAAACAGGAAGTCACAAACTTTTAAGAGTGAAAGGTGAAAAAAATCTTCATAAAACTACTATTTATAAATGCACTAAGTATAAAACAACATTAAGGGTTCAGTAAAGTGACAGCAGCGTAAGATGGCGGCTGGAAATGTCACAAACACTGCAAATTAATTTATTGTTTCAAATGTAATGGATAATATTCTGTTCTAACGCCAATCCCACATATTGTAATGAATCGACGATGAAAGGTTCGTTTGCTGCTGTGTGTCCGTGTCCAGACTGAGTCCAGACTGAGTCCAGACCGAGTCCAGACTGAGTCCAGGTCGTGATCCTTGTGAGCTGTGACAGGCCTGATAACAATGTCAGTGTACAGATTTCTTTTAGATACTACCTGTAGCTATAATATTGTATTATAATAAAATGCTTTGTAATGAGAAGAGCAGTGTCTTCTGTTTAAGCTTGTGTGTGTCTGTGTGCGTGCATGCGTGCGTGTGTGTCATATTGATTAGATCTGGACACTAACAGGCACCAAAAGGGGAGCTGTAGTTCACGTCCCCCACCCCTTCTGTCTAAATGCAGTTTATACATTTGTATTGCTAAAGAAAATCCTCAAACTGTGTTCTACTTTTCAAAAGCATCGTCCCCCAATGTGCCATGTTAAATTTCAATATTTTACCACTAAATTAGAGCCAAATGTTCCTAATTTCTTCAGGTTTCTTCACAAGGTAAGATAAGGTCAACCTTGTTACTGGTTTAATCAAATCAATCCAGACATCTATCACACACATGTGCGGCCGCACCATAGAAATTAATCTACAATAGTAAGTATGCACATACAGTCGATACATATATATTTATATAATACATATTGCACACATGCAGTCTATGGGCTGTACACAGCACTGTGGTCCGTGAGTGTATTCATGACTCGTCATCGCTGGTGCTGAGAATGATGGTTTTGACGACATTATTGAGGCGACAGTGGTTCAGTTGGTAGAGCATTGGCCTTTTCTCCATTGACTCCCACTGATCTAAGCTGTCGTTGTGTCCTTGGGCAAGACACTTAACCTCTGGGAACACCTGATGCCTCAGTTGTGCAGCTGTAAAGTGCCAAACTGCCGTTGTGTCCTTAGGCAAGACACTTAACCCACATTGCCTAGAGTGAATGGTTGGTGGTGGTCGAGGGGCCGATGGCACAAACTGGTTGCCTCGCTTCTGTCACCACAGTGTATGGAGAGAATGAATAATGACATGTGAAGCGTCAGAGCGTCAAAAAAGCACCATGTAAAACCAAGGCATTATTAATACTGTACATACTCTGAGTAGAGCCACTGCTCCCAGGAAGATCCACTCAGGGGATGTGTGCAGGTCCCTTCACCCAGGGGAGAACCAGGACCATGATGGAGCGACCCCCAGTGCAAGGAGCGCTACCACAGGGCCTTCCTCCCCACCGCTGTCAGACTGTACAATAAGTCACTTTAAGTCACCAATGACTGAAGAACCAGCTCTGCTATTGTCACTTTATTGCTCATAATCATATCCTGCAGACTATATTTTTAACCTTTACATGTCGCACACTTCTGTCTTTTGCACAATCTGCGTGGTTCTATCTTTGCCAAATGTGACTTCAACCTGGAGAGACTGGAAGAGACGAGATGCGTTTAAGAGTTGTTTATTTTATGGATTGAGTTTGTTTATTGGTTTGGAGCTTAGGCCCCGGCTGTGGCCGTGCTCTGAAGAGATCTGCGCCTGGGTGCAGATCATGATCCCCCGGGGCCTAGACACTGGTGGTGGCAACAAGGCAAGGTGAATGTGAGAGTGAAGAAATCCTGAGGCGGAGGTGGGTGCAGCTTGAAGTCCGTTTGGTGAGCTGTGCTCTGCTTTGCTCTTAAACGCTGGCTTGATTGACACGGCTGCGGGGAGTTGATTAAGACAGGCTGAGTAAGGCGTGGTCAAGCCTGGTGTGATAACGTAGGTAGTCTACCATCCTGAACCTCCGCTTAAGCTGCATATGTACATTTCTCCAGTGTGAGATCAATAATGTTCATGCTTTTTTTAACTGAGGATTCCCCTGTGTGAGCTGGATGTGTGAGCACAGGGAGAGAACCAACAAACAACGCTAAATAAAATCATGACAGACGGTTACAGAAACAAGATGTTTATTACACGTTAAACAGAACCATGTTTAAATACCACATTTGAACAGACCAGTATTTACAGCCCACTATAAACACCCAACATTAAATATCTCTAAACTTCATCGTAACATTCGTTCAAAAGGCACAAGTCTGAAGCACGAGCTGACAACACCGAGTAACAGACAGCCCAGGATCACTCACAACCCTTGCTCCTGACCTCTACCCTTACTCCTGACCTCTACCCTTACTCCTGACCTCTACCCTTACTCCTGACCTCTACCCTTACTCCTGACCTCTACCCTTACTCCTGACCTTTACCCTTGCTCCTGACCTCTACCCTTACTCCTGACCTCTACCCTTACTCCTGACCTTTACCCTTGCTCCTGACCTCTACCCTTGCTCCTGACCATAGTGACCCCTGTCTGTGGGTGACTCGGTGACATCATCAGACGTCCCTCGGCTAAAGCTAAAAGACTAAAATCCTACATTCCCCACTGTGTTCGTCTGCTCATGGAAAGGCCACACTGAACTATGGCTTCTGCACCACATTCTCAACGTCTTCCTTCAATTACAAAAAGCGGCGCGTCTGTACGGACTCAGGAGTGCAGCGACGCATTTGGAAAACATTTAAACAAAAAGTCAATCTTTTTTTTTTTAAACGCAGTTCAAAATGTCTAAAATACAAATAGTAAAATGCAACAGTCCAAACTAGCATAAGGCCCCCAGGATCAGTCGCTGCTGTCCCGGCATTCTCAAAGCTATTCAGTGTCTGTTAAAGCTGGGCGACCCAACTCTTAACCATGTAATTAAAGATGAACAGAAAGAAAAATTATGGGAACCAATCAGAACCGTGACGGAGGTTAAAAGTACATGTGGAAAACTAGACCAGAAACGGTTTTGAGAGCGAAGAACTCATGGATAATATTCCGTATCAATTTTTTTGCTTGTTTAAAGTTAGGTACCCCAGCTTTAAATGTGAAGACCTGAGAACTACATATAGAATTTATAGTGTTTTAGGGTGATGACAAAATTATAACTTCAAATATATTCCCCTTTTACATGAAGTGGTTGGGAAATAGTCTCTGTAAAACCAACAAAAATAAGTATTATTATCATTATTAAAATATACATCCATAAAAACAAGAAATTTACAGGCAATTCCGAACTTCAAAGACTTTTTACCCTCCTTGTGTGTGGAGTAGCATTCTCTGCAGTAGAATTCTAGTTACAGTTACATCTTTAGAGTAAAAGTAGTGTGACCTGCCACCACTTCTGTTGAAAGACATTTATGCACGACTTGAATTCAGGCGATGGATCTGTTTGTGTTTGTGACTCGGGTTGTATCACGGCGCTCGCCTGGAACCTGCCCCGAAAGAGTCCGGAAACAGGGCTGAACTTTTTTCATAATCATTTTTTTCAACTTTTTTGTAGAATCAGTGGTTCCCAACCGTTTCACCTCCGTAGTCAAGGACGAAAACGGCATTCCTAAAAATCCACAACCAGACTAGACCGTTTCGCCAAAGTCTCTCGATATTTTGACCAAATTGTTGATTTTATCCAACTTGAGTTTTAGATTTTCAGAAGCAAATTAGTAAATCGTCCCTACAGTGAGTATGAATAGTATAAACATTTACGGAGAGTGGTCTCCGTAAATGTTGCCGCTCCCTACGAACCGATGGCTCCTGTGTGTTTGTTATGATTGTATTTCTGGTGTTTTGGGTTAGGGTTGATTTTCTGATCTGTTGGTGAATTGACAACTTTGTAAAGTGCCACACACCTGCTGCTGTGATTTAAGGCTATACAAAAATGCATTTAACTGAGCCAAAACTGTACAAAAAAAGTAAGAAAAGCTTGTTATTGAATGAAGATAATTGGCTTTAGAATGATGTATAACAGACCATGATGGCTCATTTAACCTATCCATGTTTGAAGGTTAATTATACTAGTAAATATAGTTAATAATTTACTAGTTAACTAGTTAATAGTTAATAAAAGTAAATATAGAATCATATGAAGAACCCTCTTTGTTTGCGCCCCTCCGGTTGGGAAATACTGCTTTAGATGGAAAGTCCGAGGCACAATTACTTGATGCCGTGGTGCCAGGCTTCCCGTGTCTAAGCCATTTTCTGTTTTAAAAGTAGCAGAGAAGTCAAATCGAGAAGTACTACCTGAATTCCAGTGATTATAACTGTGACCCGTTTATTTTAAAGCGCAATTTAATTAAAGTAAATCGGTCGTGAATAGATGTTTGAATGTAAAAAGTTCATGGTGTCTTATTTTAACATTTGTGTTGTGCTCTGGTTAAAATCACCCGCCACAGGGTTTCAAAATATTGTTAAAAAGAAGAAGAATTCAAGTTGGTTTTTGCTGCCTTTCCCAAATTGGACCGGTTCAGGATCCCTAGACCAAAGCCAGAGTTTGTACGCGACTAGTTCTGCGCGTTTACCACATGTTTGGGCGTTTTAGACTTCCACGTTCATCAGTGGAGACAGAATGCGGTGGGGCCGGTCTCTGATCAGCTTTTAAGAGACAAAAGCGAGTCCCAAGTGTGAGCCAAGGTGAGTATTAGCAGCAGAAGAATGGATACGAGCGGCACGGACCATCGACGGAGACGAGGGGGCCTTCACCTTGCCTCACACTTGGAACTCACTTGTGTCTTTAACAGTTGATCAGAGAGTGTATAGAAGAGAGCACTGATTCATTACCACATTCAAAAAGAACCGTCTAACCTTGAATTCCAGCAAGTATAAATGTGAGCAGTTTGTTTGGTAGCGTGTTGTGAAAATGAAATAGGCGGTCGATGGTCTTTCCTGGGGTCAGTTCCTCCCGAAGGCCCCCTGAGCTGCGCTGGAAGCGGCGCTGGAGGCGGCGGTGGAGGCGGCGCTCTGGAAGGTCCGGTTGGTCAGCACGCCCTGGGAGAACTCCTGCTGGGCTTTGGTGAAGCTGGCCCCAGTTCTCCGGTACTTGGCGTGCACCTGGACGACACACACACACAAACACAGAGGGATGGAGGTGAAGGGAAAACAGAGAAGGCTCCTTTAACTTTCCCTGCGTTTGGCCGAGATTCACTTTGTCGGTCAGACTTTGAAGAAGAGAGTAGGGCTGGGCGATATGACAGAAAACTATATGACAATATAAGTAATTCATATCTGTCGATAACGATATATATATATATAGATTGGTTTTTTTTTTTACCTAACTAATTACATTTGGTGGTGGCTAACACAGCCTTGTTTACAGTCACGGGGGAATGAGGCTGGAGGCATATGTTCACAAGCAGTCTCCACCATAGTTAGTCCTGGTTTAGCTCCTGTTTTGGCCGTTTTCGAGTGTCTTGTGTCGCCGTGACGGCTCCGTGCGGCTATCAGAGAGCCTTCCAGAGGAAAAAGTTCATCTCTTGCTTTCACCGCATGCATCGGGTCTCTGTGTCCACTGCCTCTAACGCGCCGCACTTGCTATTCCTCGCACAGACGTGCATAACTATTGACACGGCATTGAAAAATGATCTATAGCTCCATGGACGCTACGTATGGTGCGGGTTTTGGCTTTGCATTTCCAGAATGTTTTGCGGTTCCTGCCCGGCTGTGATAGGTCGAGAAGCCTCTGCCTACATCCCCCAGAATGCTGCGCTTCTGACTCAGCTTTACTTCCTGTGTTTTCTTACTGTTTTTTCTAACAGAGTGAAGTTGAACTATCGAACATTCTATCGACCCCGTTTTCTATTGATATCGAACACGTGTCTGTCGCAATATATATAGTTATTGTTTTATTGCCCACCCCTAGAAGAAAGTAAACATAAACAGAGTCACATGATTACAAATCCCTCTTTCAATGATGTGGCAAATTAGAGAATATAAAATCACTGTTTATTAAGGGAAATAGCGTGTTACATTATTTTAATCAATGTGTTTTAAGTTCAGTTCAAAATCAAATGGGTCTGACCACAGAAGGCCACTGTCTGTGTGTTGATGTAAGGCTCACTCCACACTAAACTGTACCAATGTTTTACATTTGGGTCAATGACACGAAAAAGTCCTGAAATGTCCGCGGCCGCTACTGCTGAATGCTCACACACCCACTGTGGTTTTGTTCCTTGTTTGTCCAGTGGAGGGCGCACTACTTACACACAGATTCAGACAGGTGGACGAGATATGTTACATCCAAAACGCAAGTATTGAGTCATATCTTTTGCATATTGTAAAATCTATGTTGATTCTAGTTCTATCTCCAAACATGAACCATGAAATACTCTTCTGTTCATTTGTCCATTCACAAAGTCTCCAACATGAGATCTGTACGTAACTATTATGTACCCAAAGTTTAATAACATTTTTTTGAAAGGCATCAATTTTACTTGAAATGGTTTTGATCTCAGATGATCCCCTTTATATTTATAAGCAACATAGTACTAAAGAACTATTAGGTACAAACATTTTTTGGTTCATACATTTATTTTATTGCGGCTTGAAGTAAGATTGACACATTGTACAGTTTAGTGTTGAAGTGATCCAGACACTACACTGATACACACTATAGTGGGCCAGAAGATTTAACCTTTACCCCGGGGCCTGGGATCGGTAAAGTCTCTGTACCAACAAGAGTTTATGTTTTGTCAACAAAAGGAGCAGTTTTGCTTGAAGACATTTTGAGCTATTCTCGCTGCAGCAGGCGGGGTCACAGAGGGTCTTGGAACGGGACAAGATGATTCTGAGTCGTCAGACAATCACACCAACCCATCTTTGTGTGCGTTCTGTGAGATTGTGTGCGTTCTGTCTCATTGTGTGAGTTCTGTCCAGGTAAATTGTTGTTAGAACCAGGAATACACTGCAAATTTTTTACAGTGAATGTATCCAATGTAAAAAGTCTTTATTCAGTGGAACTCTTGCTTCATCACTCCCACTCCTCCCAACTGACCATAGGGTATGTATGAGTGTGTGTGTCCGTGCGTGTGCGTGCATGTGTATTTGTGTGTGTGTGTGTGCGTGTGCGTACCATTTTGAGGAGGATGATTCCCAACACAGAGTTGACCGTGAAGAATCCAGCCACCACCATCATGGTGACGGCCACAGCCAGGTTGGGCGAGATCATACTGATGGCGGCGATCCACCCACTGTCACACAACACAAATACACACACTGTCACACAACATGAATAAACCAGAAACAAAAAGGCATTACAGATAAACCAGTCTCTTCCAGAGCAGTGTGGTGGGGGCTGTTCTTTGGCAGATAAATGTTGGTTTGGACATGACGGACCAATCAGTTACTTCTATGTTTTAAATGTTTTACATTCATTGTAACAAACAGAGTCTAAACAAGCCATTTGAATATGTGGCTTTACATCTTTAACAAATGAAAAGAGACAGAGAAAGTCTTGTGTAATTGAATAATCTTATGAAAAGAGTCAGTAATGACATACTGTAAAACTGAGTAAGGAGACCGGAGTCTCTTCCACTGGGTCTGACTAAATATAGAAAAACGAATTAAACATTTTTTCCTCTAGCTGAGGATCCAACCAGAAAGCACAAACACACAGGAGACTGTTTTATGGTTGAATCCAGCTGGTTTGGACTCCATCTGTAGAGACTCCATCTGTGTGGTCCTGGCTCACTGACCTGTTGCCCCAGCCCGGGATGCCCACCGTCTGGATGATGTACACCACCACTTGGAAGAAGAACACAAAGAAGAAGAAGAAGAAGCTGAAGGAGCTGTCTGACCTGGAGGAAGAGACACAGGTGTGAGGGTCAAAACATCAGCCTGATCTTAGGGTCCCAGGACAGGGTATGAACATGCTCCGTGTGAGTACCTGAAGGCTTTGTAGACCGGCCGGTACCAGCACACAAACGACACGGGGCTGAAGAGCACAAACCACAGGATGGACAGGCCGAAGTCCACCCCGTGTTTAGCAGCATCTGCTGTGAAGTACGCCAGGCAGCCCAGGATGTTCAGGAACAGGGTGGCACTGTGGACTGTACAGACGTGTGTGAGCAGAAGACAAACCTTCTGTCCAGAGGAGGAACGCCATGTTGTGCGTCAAGCTGATATTGCACGGATAATTTGTCAAGGATCATTAGTCACCATGTCATCTAAAGCCACGAATTCGGCCTACGCTGACCGCGTTAAGTAAATTGATACACTGGACGTACAGTAGTCTGTGAGGCAAGATCCTTGGAGAAATTGAGAGTGATCGGAGACTTGGATACATATGAAACGCGGCGATACCAGTGGACTTCACCAGAAATGGCTTACTTTCACTTAAGTTTTACAATTAATAAAGGTCATGATGTATATGATGCATTATTTCTTTCAATCATTACTTTATTTTGAACGAAGCAGTCGATATCACAGGCCGTAAATCACTGACCCACGGTCAGTCTACCGCCCTTTCTCCCCTCCTCCTCCTCCTTCTTTCATTCATTTAGAGGGGATCGCTTGATGCCCACATACTGTATACATGGTATCACAGTCAAATCGCATATAAACCACACATGCACAGATTTAGCTAGCTCTTACCTGTTATGAAATGCTCAGAACAGACCTTATAGTGCCATTTGTCGAGGGGGTTAGGGTTGAATCACTAGTTTTGGTCTAGAGGTTGGTTCTATCGATTGATCCTCCCAAGTAAAGGATTCTTTTCTCCATCGAGAGTCGCTCCCCTGGCTCGTAATAACCTTCGGAATGTCCCCACAATCTGCACGGTAACTGCACCCCCAAATGACGCATGTAGTCGGCATGTTTTAAAAAAATGATGTGTTACGCTTTGTTTACCACGCTTTGGGTTTGAATTGCGGAATTGTGGGTTGTGTGTGACGGCATCGGAAAACCATCTATTCACAGACGCCTCCAAAAGATCTCTAAAGGAAGTGGATTTTGAGTATTGGTGTGGAACATGCAGGGGGTATGATCGTGATGTCTTAAGGACTAGTGAAGGCCAAACGGGGTATATAGTAAGCTAATCTAACTGGTAAAGTACCATGTGGCCGCAGACCTAAAAAAGGTCTCATTATGATTCTCAAATCATTAACGACCAAACAAGGAAAAAAACAGGTGCATTCTCCGAGATACTGTTGTGGAGAAGTTTAAAGCCGGATTTGGATACAAAAAGATTTCCCAAGCTTTAAACATCTCAAGGGGCACTGTGCAAGTAATTATATTGAAATGGAAGACCACTGCAAATCTACCAAGACCCGGCCGTCCCTCCAAACTTTCATCTCAAACAAGGAGAAGACTGATCAGAGATGCAGCCAAGAGGCCCATGATCACTCTGGATGAACTGCAGATAACTACAGCTGAGGTGGGAGAGTCTGTCCATAGGACAACAATCAGTCGTGCACTGCACAAATCTGGCTTTTATGGAAGAGTGGCAAGAAGAAAGCCATTTCTCAAAGATATCCATAAAAAGTCTCGTTTAAAGTTTGCCACAAGCCACCTTGTGTGGCCACACAAGGTGGCCAAAATCAAACTTTTTGGTCACAATGCAAAACGATATGTTTGGCGTAAAAGCAACACAGCTCATCACCCTGAACACACCATCCCCACTGTCAAACATGGTGGTGGCAGCATCATGCTTTGGGCCTGCTTTTCTTCAGCAGGGACAGGGAAGATGGCTAAAATTGATGGGAAGATGGATGGAGCCAAATACAGGACCATTCTGGAAGAAAACCTGTTGGAGTCTGCAAAAGACCTGAGACTGGGACGGAGATTTATCTTCCAACAGGACAATGATCCAAAACATAAAGCCAAATCTACAATGGAATGGTTCACAAATAGACGTATCCAGGTGTTAGAATGGCCAAGTCAAAGTCCAGACCTTATATCTTTATGTTTGAAGCCTGAAATGTGGCGAAATGTTGAAAGGTTCAAAGGGGGCCGAATACTTTCGCAAGGCACTGTATTTATTGTTGACAAAACTCTTTTCAGATATTATGTTCCCAGCTGGATTTGTCTGCATATCTGCAGTACCAGATTTTTACATACTGCTCCTTTAAGTACACCCTTGTTTTGTCTTTGTTGCATTCTAAAAGTACAAGTGAGCAGTGAGAGGATCGGACACTCACACATCCACAGGTAGTACATGCGTCTGCAGATCCTCCTGTACTCCTCGGGGATGTCCTCCTCAAAGTCTTGGTAGAAACACGGCTTCACTGGGAAGAACTTGGGCAGAGGAGGCCAGTTGTTCTCTTTGACTGAAACAGACCACAGCGTTAGCACCAGAGAAGTCCTCCCGGTTTGTTACAGAGACACACTGCAGACGCCCCTTTCAAGTCCATTTGCCAAAAGACAGATTGCACGCCCTCCCCTTTCATTAGCAATTAGACTTAGACTTTATTGATCCACAAAGGAAATTGCATTGTCGCAGTAGCTTGCATAGTATTCCACAATAAAAATAGCAATAAGGTAACAATCTGAAAATAATAATAAAGATAATATTGTGAGAACAGAATAATCTGGATATACTATAGGTACTCAGGACTAAACACATCTGTGAATATGTCCACATTTACAGGATAAAATACAGAGATAAAAGGATCCTACACATCTGTTAATATACTGTACATTATATACAAAGACAACGCAGATAAACTTGAAGTCTGTTTACAGCTCCCAACTCGGTCTCACAACAGACTCTGCAGATGGATCCATGTTCAGGGTTCAGGTTTGGGGACAACATTTCCTGCGGTGGCCACATCTGAACAGTGGGAGTCATTTTATTCCCATTAACAAGTCAGTGTCAAGAATCCAATATTAATCTTTTCCCGCAAATGAATATCGGCTTCATATATTGGAGATTGACCAACTAGACTAATTGGATATTTGAACCCAGATAGATATGGACTTCAATATTCTTGCACTAGATTGTTCTACAGATACACACAAGCATTTGTTTTTGATGTTGCACTAGAGCAGACATCAGGCAAGCGGGTGTGCCAAATGCAGCCCGCAAGACAATTTGCAGTGAAGTTCAGAAAAGGAACTGACTTTTATTTATTCTAAAATGGGAACCCAACACATCAGTCAAAGTTAAACGGTTGCATATAAAAACATTACATTAGAAGAGTTAAATTTTACAATTGGTCCAGTTTTGGTTCAATCTAAAATAAATACATTTTGTTTTCAGAAAAAGTCAACCAGAAATTAAGATTTCAATATTGAGCCTCTTGAGACCTCTGGTGCCGAAAGGTTTGATATATACTTTATCTTGTGCTGGGTTCTCCTCATTCCTAAATCTCATGGTATCAGTCGGACTCTGGTGCAGTGGGTACCTCCAGTGCTGGACCGGGCCGTGCTCCTCGTCTCCAGCTCTCGTTCTTTCCTCTCCAGTTCCGCGGCCTTCTTCTCTAGCTCCTCCTGCTGTTTGGCCAGAGACACAGCAGCCGCACTGACACTGTTCTGTGTGGGAATTACACATATGATCACATGTGGATACACTGTGGCCCCGTTTCCACCAGCCCCATTTGGCCCTTCTCTACTCTACCCTGATCGGGAGCATTTCCACCAGCCCTGTTTTACTGGTTGGTGGAAATGCTTGTCCGTGTACCTTTAGTACCCGCTTGGCCCTGGTTCTATCCAGGCCAAACTGGTACTAAAGTGTCCAAAATGCCAGTGATTGGTCAGAGTCCCACTGGAAGCTGTGGTTACCGAGGGAAATCCCCAGATAGTGGTTTGTTGTGGGTAGATAAGCTGAGACAAACTTTATGGATCTCACAATGAACACATACATTGAATACAAGGATGGTAGGTTGCTAGGACGCGGTACCAGGAACTTAATGTGTAACGGAAACGCAACCGGGTAGAGCAGGGCCAAGTAGGGGTGGTGGAAACAGGGCCATGATACAAAATAATGGCAGTATTGTTATTTTGGCACAGCCCTTACACATGAATGTATGTATTTGTACATTTTGATGTATTATGTATATTATCGTTTACAAGCTCGAATGAAATACACGGAACTAAGCAAGCGCCTGAAGTGAAGGTCATGGCTCCTTTTGATTCAGTCTGATCCCGCCATGTTAAATATTTTGCTACTTTTTTCACTATTATTTCATGTTATCTTGTCCGATAACTTTTGTCATAGAAGCTGAAATCTTCCAGATAGAAAGGTGATCTTGGTTCTAAATTAATGCTTATAAATCTGGACAGTTTTTAACGGAACAATATGTAAAAATCTGGCCAAAAGTGGTACTGCAGTCACAGTCAATATTGTGTAGTCCTCTCCCACTCTCCCTGACTCAGGTTGCCAGATACACACCAAATCCAGCTGCAAACACAGGGAATTATTTTATCAGTTGCCATGAGGCATGCTAATGTTGAATGAATGTTTAATTTTTATTTTTATTTGGACATTTGAGATAAAAAACTAAAAATAAAAGCAATATAATTATAGATTATCCAAAATAAATAAGCAATTGATGTCCAAAATAGGAGTGTGAAGAATGGATGTTGGAACATATTTCTTCAGCGTATCAACATCAGGGCATCACCTTTCAATTTTATTTATTCCCTATTTTTTAGACAAACATGTATAAGTCCCACATCAAAAAGAGACTAACATTATTTTTTATTGGGTACATGTGGTCTCAAATGATGTTTTTTACAATTAAGCTATAATCTGCAAAAAAACGTCTTGACCTTTGCCTTTTACCGTTTTTAGAGCAATCTGTCATAGAATGTGATAACATGCAATTAAATACAAAAAGGCTCTGCCCGGAATCGAACCCGAGTTACAGTATCGTGAGCGCAGAGCCTTAACCACTAGACCACCGATTCACACTATAAATATTCTTTTGAAGAACGGACACAAAGCAGGAAATTTTGCATCACACGTGAACTTTTATCAGCTGTCTCAATTGTTCAAAGGCGGACCGATATAAATCCTCGTTTTAGTCTTTGTTTTGTCATTAATTATTTGAGAGTCATAACAAGACCTTTTTTAGTTCTGCGCCACATGTTATTTTACCACTGAGATTAGCCGCGGGGAGTTCTGGCAACCCGATCACGGACTTACATGACACTTCCTGATTGGCGAAACGGCGGAGGGTAGGACATCAAAATCAAAACAATAACAACTCTTACGGGTCGTAAAACTAATTTTTATTTGATTAATCAAATATCTCGGCTTCACTACTGTTATCAGTTAAAGTTGTATTCGAAAAGAGCATGATTTAACGCCTTTTGAAATATGGGGCCATTTAATGATGACCTGACATGCAAATATTACATACTGCTACTTTAAATAACATTTGAGGTAATGATATGTGCAATGACTTTGGATGTCGATATCAGACGTACAATTGGTTGAGGGTGATATTTTAGGGTGATGTAGCAAATTCTATCTTGTTTCCCCGTGTCTAAGGATGCATCACTGGTGTCCTGACAACGGCTCAAAAAACAGCTTCTTGATCCTCTGAGACCAAACTGGGCCGAGTTGGGACTGGGCTCTATCAACTCCCTATGGCCCAAGGAACAAGATTACATGAAACAGGGTGCTTGCTCTTTTTCCAAATTAAAATTCCAGACTTTTTTAAAACTGATATATTTTTTGCCCAAGACCTTAACTGTATGTACTTGTATACTTGTGTGCCTACTGCCTACTTCATTGGTTGAGATTGTACCAACTGTGTTTATTAGAAAGGTTTTTTTTTTAAACCATACATTTTTTCCCCATACTTTATTTAGACTTTCACACAAAATTCAAGACTTTTCAAGGTCTGGAAAGCAGCCTGATGAAAATGAGGGAAAGGTAGCAATAACCATGACATGGAGGAGTGCGGTCTAAATCCGGCATCAGGGCAGAGTCTCCGATCTTAAGACCAGGTTCTTTACCGTAGTTTAAAGAGTACACATGGTTTAGTCGTTGGAACCAGGTGGAAGATGTGGTTGGATTCAGTTTCAGCTCAAATGAAGCACAGTGCTGTCCAGAGGGGTCCAGTTACAAGTGAGAGGACTGTGGAAAAGTTCTCACTGCTGTATTCTTCCACACTGCGCCATTAAAACTTATTTCCACAGACAATGGTTTATAGAAGGTGTGGGGTGACATAATGTTAAAAAAAAAACATTTAGAAATCTACTAAAACATGGGGAAACTATAGTAAATACTGTTGATTGTGTGGGCAGCTGAGTGGTTAGCGCTGGGTCTTGGGTTCCTCCTTTCTGAGTGGAGTTTGCATGTTCTCCCTGTGTCTGCCTGGGTCTCCTCTGGGGGCTCTGGTTTCTCCTACCACTAAAATCCTGTACATAGTTGTGGCAGGTGCAGGTGGCCTCGCTTCATCTCTGTGGGAGTGAGAGACCAATGCCCACAACAAAAGTGACTCTGGTCTGTATTTGCATGTGTTTGGAGATACTATAAACGCAGTGGGAAACATAACAATGAACAAATGCTGTCCATAAATTGAGGGATGTAAAGATTGTAAAGACTTATGAATGTCAAATTTCTGCTCGAATGAATGAAAATCAATTAATCTTCATTTATTTAAAATATATTTACTCAAAAGAAACATGTTTTCATATAAGAGTTGGACAGTTTGGACAGCCCGTGTGTCCTGCTGAACCTCTGCAGCAGAAGGCAGCCGCAGGACTTTGACACTAGCATCAATATCTTAATAAAAAACAATAAATCACTTTGACTTTGAATTATTACAACTGTTTTATTGTTTGGGCAGCGCTTTGTAAAGACTGTCTTTGAAAAGTGCTATAGAAATAAAGATCTATTATTTTTGTTGTATTATTATTATTATTATTATTAGGTATTATAGGTTCCTTTTTACTGCTTACCGCATATTGTGGGCACCATGTGTAGTAATTATAATCGTAATTATTGGAATTTAAATGTTATACCTTCGAAGTGTTGCTGATTTTTATTATGCCTTACTCTATTCTTTACCTCTCTTTCTGACTGTTGCACTGAGCCAAAGCTATTTCCTCGTCTGTGACCTCCTGTTACTTACGTGGCAATAAAAATGGTTCTGGTTCTGGTGCGGGGCATGACAGCACTGACCTTTGCACTCTGCTCCACAGACGTTTGAAGCACCGCAGGTTGAGACGCAGTGGCTGCAGAGATGGGGATGGTGGTCCCGGTCGCAGAGTAGTCTCCCTGCACACACACATGAAACACACATCAGACACACACGAAACACACAGACACACACACAAAAGACACACACGAGATACACACAGGACACAAAGGAAACACACCATACACACACAAGACACACAGGAAACACACACAAGATACACAGGAAGCACACGAGACACACAAAACACGCACAAAATACACACATGAAACACACATAATGCCTGTTCTGAACGCACAATAAGACATTAGAAAATATAAACGTCTCTTTCAGCTAAAGAGTTCTGATGAGAGCCGTAAAATCATATTTTAAAGTCATCAAAGCATGTTTGTGTTTGTTCATTCTCAGTTCTGATTCTGTATCACTGAACCGCCCATAAAACCACCTGTGTCCTGGTCCCTGAAGCTGCAAACATGTACAGATGTTTATACAACTCTATATTTCTACAATAAACAGCATTTCATTCTTTATGATGCTAAAGTTATAGATGCTATAATTCTTTATGATGCTAAATTTATAGATGTTATAATTCTTTATGATGCTAAATTTATAGATGTTATAATTCTTTATGATGCTAAAAGGATGCTTTCTGAACCCCGAGGGACCGAGTCTGTTCAAACCTGCCTACACTACTTAATTTTTTGTTTCTTTTAAACCCGTTCTTCTGTAAATCATCTTTTGAGTGTCCAAATAAAGAATAGGAATGATATATGATTTAAAAAAAATAATAACAATGACCAATGTCCATAAATGTGGTTAAATGTCGAGTGTCAGATCAAATCATAACAGACTATATTTTATTAGAGAAAAAGATCCCTGTGAGACACTATTGGAATCTTTGGACTTAGATCTGACTGAGGCCGATACTAAAGTTTCCATCAAAGCTGATCTAAAAGATGGATTTTGAAACAGATCTGCTGCGATCTGAAAGTCAGGTACCCCAGCTTTAAGAGTCTATGTGCTAATGCGTGTGTTCGTCTGTGGAGCAGCACTGACCGTGTCCGAAGCAGAGAAAGGGTTGAAGTCTCCCAGAGGGTCCGCTGCTCCCCTGGTGACGTTAGTGACCGAAGCATCCTGCAGCAGAGACACACACACTGGTTTACTGTGTGACCAGGGACCAGGACCCCGGACCCCGGACCCCAGGCCTCAGACCCTGGGCCGAGAGGAACTAACTCTTAATATAGTCAAGGCTTGTATAGCAGAAAACAAAGTTAAAAAAAAGGACAAAAATATATTGCGATGGTTTTAGAAAAAAAGTTGGAGAAAGTAAACTAACTCAGACTCTGAGACAGAGACACAGAGAGACAGAGACAGAGTCAGAGGACACAGAGACAGAGTCAGACAGACAGACACACTGCTAATTTACACATCACGCGTTACAGCACGTACGCGTTATACGCGCAGCAGACGCGCGTAACTTTTTTCCATGTTAACCTATGATGATATTTACACTTCTAGCGTTATACGCGCGTATGACGGACATGTGACGCGAAGCTGCGCTCTAATTTAGGATGGATTTCTAATTTTGTGCGCGCACCAACGCGTCTCCCATTGAAATCTCATGTAAAACTTTATTTTTCTAGCGGTCCTTGGCTTTAGATCACATCTGCACGCACACTGCACTTGTGTCTAAACGTCAGCAGGAGGAGCAGCAGGTTTTACAGTGATTCTGGACATCGTTTTTTTTCTTTCATAAAGTCTCGCGTCTGGACAAACCAGCGCACAGAGACCATGAAGACAAACACATGCATGTGATTTGTGTTGCTCTACATCAGTCCTCTGGCTCGTACTGTCCTCTACACTGCTCCATAGACTACACAGGGAGAGCATCAGAAGCCGCGGACCTGCGCGCACGGTCAGTGTAGATACTCCAAAAAAATGTTACGCGCAGAGAGCGCGCAGTAAACGCGTACGCGCTGTTTACGCCTACTGTGTAAATCCCCCGACAGACTCACACAGACACAAAGTCAGACAGACAGAGACACAGACTCACACAGACACAAAGTCAGACAGACAGATACACAGACTCACATAGACAGAGACACAGACTCACACAGACAGAGACAAAGAGTCACACAGACAGAGACACAGACTCACACAGACAGAGACACAGACTCACACAGACAGAGACACAGACTCACACAGACAGAGACACAGACTCACACAGACAGAGACACAGACTCACACAGACAGAGACACAGACTCACACAGACAGAGACACAGACTCACACAGACAGAGACACAGACTCACACAGACAGAGACACAGACCACACAGACAGAGACACAGACTCACACAGACAGAGACACAGACTCACACAGACAGAGACACAGACTCACACAGACAGAGACACAGACTCACACAGACAGAGACACAGACTCACACAGACAGAGACACAGACTCACACAGACAGAGACACAGACTCACACAGACAGACACAGAGACAGAGACACAGACTCACACAGACAGAGACACAGACTCACACAGACAGAGACACAGACTCACACAGACAGAGACACAGACTCACACAGACAGAGACACAGACTCACACAGACAGAGACAAGACACAGACTCACACAGACAGAGACACAGACTCACACAGACAGAGACACAGACTCACACAGACAGAGACACAGACTCACACAGACAGAGACACAGACTCACACAGACAGAGACACAGACTCACACAGACAGAGACACAGACTCACACAGACAGAGACACAGACTCACACAGACAGAGACACAGACTCACACAGACAGAGACACAGATCCACACAGACAGAGACACACACAGACAGAGACACAGACTCACACAGACAGAGACACAGACTCACACAGACAGAGACACACAGACAGACACAGCTCACAGACAGAACACAGACTCACACAGACAGAGACACAGACCACACAGACAGAGACACAGACTCACACAGACAGAGACACAGACTCACACAGACAGAGACACAGACTCACACAGACAGAGACACAGACTCACATAGACAGAGACACAGACACATTTTCCATGCACTGATTATGTGAGCGTTGCACACCAGAGAGCACCACGAGTTGCCCTGTGTATGAACTGTGATAAACAAATAAATGTGCGTTTAAAAAAAAAAAAGTTTACAGATGTTTCTCCTCCACATTAAGGGTAAGGCAAGTTTATCTGTATGGCACAGTTCATACAGAAGGCAACTCAAAGTGCTCAACAAATCAAGGAACTCACAGTCCTTGCAATCACAGATCATTCAAAAGAGTCAACGGAAAATCCTTCAGTTTTTGCAGCAAAACAGAATCGTTTTTAAACTGGATTTAGACATTGACAGAGAAGAAGTCTGTCTTACATTTTCAGGAAGACTGTTCTAGATTTTAGCTGCATAAATCTTAAATTCTGCCTCTAGTCTTGACTGTGGGACCAGCAGGAGACCAGAGTGAGCTACACTGACACAGAGTGAGCTACACTGACACAGAGTGAGCTACACTGACAGAGTGAGCTACACTGACACAGAGTGAGCTACAGACACAGAGTGAGCTACAGACACAGAGTGAGCTACACTGACACAGAGTGAGCTACAGACACAGAGTGAGCTACACTGACACAGAGTGAGCTACACTGACATAGAGTGAACTACACAGACACAGAGTGAGCTACACAGACACAGAGTGAGCTACACAGACACAGAGTGAGCTACACAGACACAGAGTGAACTACACAGACACAGAGTGAGCTACACTGACACAGAGTGAGCTACAGACACAGAGTGAGCTACACTGACACAGAGTGAACTACACAGACACAGAGTGAACTACACAGACAGAGTGAGCTACACAGACACAGAGTGAGCTACACAGACACAGAGTGAGCTACACTGACACAGAGTGAGCTACACTGACACAGAGTGAGCTACAGACACAGAGTGAGCTACACTGACACAGAGTGAGCTACACTGACACAGAGTGAGCTACAGACACAGAGTGAGCTACAGATTCAGAGTGAGCTACAGATTCAGAGTGAGCTACACTGACACAGAGTGAGCTACACTGACACAGAGTGAACTACACAGACACAGAGTGAGCTACAGACACAGAGTGAGCTACACTGACACAGAGTGAGCTACACTGACACAGAGTGAGCTACACTGACACAGAGTGAGCTACAGACACAGAGTGAGCTACAGACACAGAGTGAGCTACAGACACAGAGTGAGCTACAGACACAGAGTGAGCTACAGACACAGAGTGAGCTACACTGACACAGAGTGAACTACACAGACACAGAGTGAACTACAGACACAGAGTGACCTTATTTCGCCTCTAACGTGAAGGTGTGTACGTCCTGACGCACGGTCCTGACGCACTGCGGGCCTGCGGCTGCTGTAATGGCGTCTCCAACACATACACCTGTTGCCTCTCACCTGCACCGCTTTCCAACATACTCGGCGCACGCAAACACGGCCAAATCTCACGTTATCACCTCGAACACAACTCGACAACACGGCACCGTATCAGTTCTGATCGAAACAACGAATCAACAAACCCAGGAAATGCGAGCGCACAACTGATCCTAAACTACCCAAACCGGTCCTAGCCCCGCGCGTCACAGCTGCGCCTCTAAAGTGCAACAAAGTGCCAGAATCAGGACGCACTTGGAAAGGATTGACGTCCACGGGGTCCACGAAGGGGTTGGGGTCGAATTCAGACATGTTTGCAGCTGAGGAAGAGAGAGACGAGAGAAGAGAGGGCTGCTTCCTCCTGAGACTAGTCCTGATGCTGCTGCTGCTGCTGCTGCTGGTGCTGCTGAGGCCATGGCGCATGCGCGGAGGGCCCGGCACTAACGCGTCACTGAGATGACTAAAAACAGAAAGACAAGATGAGATATTCCTTTATTCCAGAAGAAAATAAGACTCAGATTGCACAAATTAAACAGGGTCTGTTATTTGAGAATATAGATATTAAAGTTAAAATAATAAGATGGAAATATAAAATGAAATAAAATAAAACTGGTTCAGAAGTATTTACAAATGTGTATATTGTACTTTAGCAGCAGAGAATATGACCAGAATAAACAATAGTAACAATATCAGCAGGTAAAGTGACTAGTGCCGGGGTCTCCACCTGTAACTCGGAGCTACCAGTAGCTCACCAGGCCCTTTCAGGTCCCAAAGGATTTAGAATTCAACACATGATCTTGAACGATTCACTTTTGAGTCATTTACATATGTATTATAAGTATAAATATAGGGTTATACAGTATTACGGTATATTTCACTGGCATTGCCCATGCTTTGTCATAATTACTACATCGATTTTATTGTAACTGCAAAAAGGAGAAGCTCTCTGCCTCCTCTGTTGTGTAGAAGTAGCTCTCTGATTTAAAAATGTTGGAGACCCCAGGACTCGTAGATGACAGAGATATCAGATGAATGGATATGTAGTAATGCATTAATGAAATACAAAGATTAAAGGTTTTTAGGAGGTGTAGTGACTATCTTTTCAAACAAACTTATACCATACAAACTCAAATAATCACCAGAGTGTGCAACATGGGTCTGTGGTGTACGCAGTGAAAAGTAACGAATGTCCAATCAAAAATATAACGTTCAAAAAGTTAGTTTTAACAAGTTGCAGGAAAACATGAAGGCTCCTGTACTGTCCCCATTTATCCACTAGGTGCCACTAAACTAAACTAAACTGACGTAAACCCAATATAACAGTGTCTCCCAAAGTGGGGTCCGCGGCCCCCTGGTGGGCCGCGAGGGTACTGCAGGGGGGCCGCGGGAGGTCATAAAAAAAATAAACAAATAATATAATTATTTAATGTTAAATTGATAATGTTTTGTTTTTAATATTAAAATATTTGTGTTCATTATTTGACTTGAATAATCCACTGTAATAATTTTTGTATTACAATGTTTGTAGCAGAGGCTATTTCCCCAAAATAAAATAACCAGAAGAGCCTATTCTTAATGTTGTCTTCTTGGTTATTATTTTGGGGGGGGCCACGCAGACCCGTCAGATTTTTAAGGGGGCCTCGGTGTTACTGAGTTTGGGAATGGCTGCAATATAATATAATCTACACATTTATCTAAATTACCAACAAATACAAATTTGAACTTTGGCAAAAAATATACTATTATAGTAAAATATACAAAACAAATAGACACCAAGAAATGAAATTAATTTAGCCCACAAGCAACTAGCTCATACACAGGGGAAGATTCTTAAAGGTAAATAGGATTAGCCCCAATTTTAGGAAAGAACCGCCCTCTCTACTTATTGATTTAAACTCTCTGGTCCTATTTGACGAGCCTGTATCACCAGAATGATTGACAGTAAAGAGGACCAATAGTCTTGATGATCCTCCTATATACCTTTATGATGAAGATATCCATTATTCGTCATTCAGTGTTGCATCACAAGTTACATAACAGTAAGAATGAGGAGCACACAGCACAAGATAAATGAAAATGAACTCTATTCTAAAATAGTATAAAATAAAATAAAACTTCTAACTCTAGCATAAAAAGAATCAGTAAATAATATCTATCTTTAGCATCATTTTGTATTTATTTTGAGCAAGTAAGTGGGCATGCAAATAATCAGTACAAATGAATCAAAAGCAACCTAAGTACATTCACAAGGAAGTAGTAAGTAAGTAATGCTTATTTATATAGCGCATTTTACAGACCAAGGTCACCCAAGTGATGACAGAAGCGAGTCGCCGAACACACTGGAGCATCAACTCCCAATCAACACCATCCATTCACTCTCTCATTCACATTCATACCTATTGTGCATGTTTTTAGAGGTAGGGGAAACAGGAGCACCTGGAGGAAACCTAAGCAGACACGGGGAGAACATGTAAACTCCACTCAGAAAGGCCCTGTTCCGACCGGGGTTCGAACCCAGGACCTTCTGCTGAGAAGCGAGAGTGCTATCCACATCCAGCCTGACAAAAATACATACAAAAATAAGGAATGAGGAAAGACGTCTTAAAATCTCCAACTTAAAGGCGCTATACCCGTTTCTGCAATGTTTGAATGTTTAGCACCGCCCTCCAACTCGCTCACAGGCTTCTCATTTCCCCTACGCTCTCATAACACGGAGCCACCTAGTTTTATTTGCGATCTGATACGTATGCTAACATTAGCATTAGCGCAACTTGTAAGCTGTTCAACAATCACTGATGAAATAGTACTAGAGCAATGCACTGCTAACACAATATATAAGTAAAAGAATACCATTAGTTTTGCGTCCGAATGTATTCATTTAAACATTAGAATATATTCTAATATTTAATTATAATTTATTATACAGCTCCTCACAGCAGCAGCACTCCATTGACTTGAATGCAATTCCTCCGATCATTTTTTCTTGATAACAGAACTCTCAAACCAATAATGACCGCAGCCCCAATGCAATCTCTGTTTGTAATTCAGGTGTGTAAAATACTGCCATTACTTTGCAAGTACAACAAGCTATCAGCGCCTGTCACTACACACTTGTCTGTGTAGAGAAGCTAGCGGAGCTAGCCACGCTCGATAAACAACTACATATCAATCAATCAACACCATTAAACGTCAATCGGACAATACAGTATACATATACATCCTTAACAGACATGCACGGACGATTTCAGAATTTGCTGTCAACGTTTTCATGACAAAAATACTGTTTTAAAGTGACAAAAAGCGATCGCGAAAAACCCGGAAGTTACCATGAAACAGCTAGCTAGCTTAGCTGTTACCTGCCTAGCACGTCCCGGTGAAACCTTTGGGAGCTAACTATTTTATTTGCAGTCATTAAATACATTTCTAATTATAAGGGTTGTCTAATATTTGTTCAAATATGTATATATTTTTTATTTTAGAATTATATTCGAATTTTGAAGTCGAAGCCCTGGTGTTAAGCAGCGCTGTAGAGGCTAGAGGACGCAGGCTGGTCGCTGCTCGTTCTGTGAGCGGAGGAGAACGAGCGGCCCGCTCAGACTCTACTCAGCGGGTATAGCTTCTTTAAGCTCGGTGAAGAAGCAAGAATGAAGTGCATAAACTCCTGACGTCAGCCAAAGGAGCAAGTATAGTGAATATAGCTAGTGAATATGACTCTTAGAGGCCCGAGCCTTCCGCCAGAGAGAAATCAATGCTCCAATCACGGACGAGTCCCTCCTATAAATAGCCCTCTGCAGCCCGCACCTGCCACTTTGAACTCTGCCAAATCCAGGCTGGACTGATGGGCCCATAGCTAAGGGGCTACGCACCCCGAAGAACACTGACAAATCCTTTCCTAAAGTAAAGAGCCACAGAGTTAAGGCCGCTCCTATCAAGGACACCCGAACACTCTGTCAAAAACTCCCCAGCGAGTAAGCGCAGGCTGCCTTCCCAGGACATCTCCACCAAGAGCTCCTGAAGGGAAGGCCAAAAACCAACGTTCTCGGAGAACAAGGGCAAACCGTAGTCCTCAGGACGCCTCTACCAAGAGCTCCTGAAGGGCCGCACACTGCCCATGAGGAAAAAGGACAGGCCGCAACCCAAGGACGCCTCTATCAAGAGCTCCTGAATAGGGCAGCCCAAACAACACACACTAGACCGTAGGCCGCCTCTACCAAGAGCACCTCACGGCCCCAATTAAATCCCCGCGTTCAGAACGGAGTGGGCAACCAACCGTTCTGACACGTCAACCAGATAAGATTGAGCAAAAGAAGAGGACGAAGCCCAGGACAGGCAGACGACCTCCACTGAGGCCCCCCGGAGCAACGCAGTGGAGGCCGCAACCACCCGCGTGGAGTGCGCTCTGAATCCCACCGGGGGAACCAAACCCTGAGCCTGGTACGCCATGCGAACCGCTCGGGAAACCCAGTGCGCCAGCCGCTGAGAGATCAGCGGGGCGCCCCTGTTCTTAGGACCCAAACACACAAACAGCTGATCAGAATGCCTGAACGCGGCCGTAACGTTCAGGTAGCCTCTAAGCGTCCTGATTGGACACAAAGGATGCCGCAGCTCATCTTCCTCCGAGGCATGAGGGGGCGGATAAAAGGGTCTGATCCTGATGACCCTAGACCTAAAGGTCAAGGAAATTACCTTGGGGAGAAAGGCTGGATTGGGCCAAAGCTCCACCAGACCATCGCCAGCCCCAAACGACAGACACGCCGGGCTAATGGAGAGAGCGCATAAATCCCTCGCCCTCTTGGTTGACGCCAAGGCCAACAAAAGGGCAGTCTTGAAAGCCACACATTCCGGGGTGGCCTGGGTCAGCGGCTCGAAAGGAGGCCCCAACAGGCCCTTCAGCACCGCCCTGAGGTCCCAGACCGGGGGTGTCCTCCTGAAGACGGGCCTTTTTCTGTGGGCCCCCCGAAGGAAACGTTTGACCAACGGGTGGGAGCGGGCCAAAAAACCCCCGAACCCCCCGTGACCCGCGATGGCTGATGCGAACACCGGCGAGGTGCCGGCAGCCCTCCCCTTTTCCAATAATTCTTGAAGAAATCCCAGGACTCCCTCCAGAGGGCAGGACACGGGATCCCAAGAGCGTACTGCGCACCAGTCACTAAAAACCTTACACCTACAGCCTTAGGCCCTGATAGTGGAAGGGGCCCTCGCCCCCTGAATGGTCTCCACCACAGACAGGGGGAGGCCCTGGTCTATGAGGTTCCGCCTCTCAGCCTCCAGACCCAGAGTCTGTGGCCCAGCACTGGGCGTGAATGAAGCGTCTCCTCTCCCTGGACCAGAGCCCAAGGCTCGTCCGGGAGGGGCCACGGCTCCACCACTGCCATGCCCTTCAGAAACAGAAACCACCGGGCATGCGGACTGCCCGGAGCGATCAAAATCATCTCCGGACCTTCCTGCTCAATCCTCCTCAGCAGAGCAGACAAGAGGCGAACCAGAGCGGACACTGAGCGTTGTCTGCACTGGCGAACAGGTCGACCACTGGGTGACCGAACCTCAGCCAGATTTGTGCCGCTACCCGAGGGTCCAGGCCCCACTCCTCCCTGAGTGGGCCCCCCCCTGGACCTTATGTCCGCCCCTGTGTTCTGATCCCCCAGAACATGCCGTGCTTTCAGGGACTGCAGATGCACCGCAGCCCAGAGCAGGAAGATTGCCGCCAGGCGATGGAGGGCTGGGCACCTTGTGCCCCCCTGTCTGTTCAGATACACGACCACGGTGGTGGTGTCCGAATGCACCATCACATGCTTCCCCTCCAGCTGTGAAACAAAGTGCTGCAGCACCCTGCACACTGCCTGCATCTCCAGCAGATGGATGTGGCGAGTCGGGTCTGACCAGGAGCCCCCCACAGAGCTCTGGTTCAGAACCCCTCCCCACCCCTCGAGAGAAGTGTCTGTGAACACCTCCACATGTGACACGGTACCGACCAGGGGCACCCTGTCGTAACAGACCCGGGGTGAGCCAGAACCTGATGTCCGACGCCACGGTCGGGGGGATCCTAAGCATCCTTCCCCCGTGTCGCGGGTGAAGCTTGAGACGGGAGAACCACCTCTGAAAACCCTGCATGTGGAGGAGGCCCAGACGCACCACTGCATGGGCCGCCGCCATCATCCCCAGTAGCGATCTGAGGCTCCGAGCAGGCACTCACGGTGAAGCGCAGAAAGCGTCTGTGCTCCGGCACTATCGCTACGTGGAAGTAGGCGTCTGTCAGATCGATGGCAGACATCTTGTCCCCGGGCCTGATGCACTCCAGAAGCTGCTTTGTGGAGAGCATGCGAAATGGCCGCTTGGAGATGTACTGGTTCAGTGTGCGCAGATCTAAGATGGGCTGCACTCCCCCTGACTTCTTGGGCTCCAGGAAGTACGGGGAGTACAAGCCTCTGGAGGCGTCCAGGACCGCGGCGCCTTTCCCCAGCGCCCCCCACTCTCCTGGTGCTCCCACAGGAGAGGGGGGAACCCCAAAGGGCCGGAGGACACCATGTGGTACGCTGCGTGAGACAGATGGGTCCTGACCCGCTGTCCCTCTGGTCTCGAGGTCCCCTGGAGCCCCGGGGTCTCGCGGAGAGGTCTGAGCAGAGCAACGTCTGGGAGACCGGTCTCTCTCTCTCGCCGCTTCTGTGCTGTTGGCGGGGCTCACGACGTGGAGCCAGATGGGGAGCCAGATGGGGAGCCAGCCTCGCGTAGTCCTTGGCCACATTGTCAAGCCTCTCGACCAGGCCCCGCATATCAGGTCCGAAGAGGGACTCCGTAGAGATAGGTAGGTCCAGGAGCTGCCTCTTCTCCGTCTCCCTGATGTCAGCCAGCCCCAACCAGAGATGGCAGCCGATCTACGCGGCAGCCATGGTTCCACCCCCATCAATGGCTAGTGCTTGGACCATCCTCAGGAGCGCCGCTGAGGTGGTCCTAGCTCTCGAGAGGACCTCGCCGCTGAGCGCCCGGCCCGCGGCAAGAGACCTGTCCAGGGCCCCAGTGATGAGCGCCATGTTGCTCGCCAACGCAACCACGTAGCATCTGTCCAGCACCGAACTCGTCATCCTATCCCGCTCGGAGGGAAGGAGCGGTCTGCTGCCTGGCCATACGGAGAACTTGGGGAGTAGCGCCGGCCTCACTGCGTCCTCGAAGTCTGGGACCCCCCTGGACCAGTCATGGACCGTACAATAGGTACCGTACCCCAGGGCAGGCCTCTTGGCTGCCAGGGGCTTGGACCAGTCACGTGTCGCGTAATGAAACACCGGGTCCATACACGGGCACAGCGTGGGTGCGAGCCTCTTCCTCCCCTGCTCTGAGGAACCCACCGTGAAGTCAGCCTCGGTCTGGGTGGATTCTGGGGGGAGGGGAACGTCCATGCTCCTCGCCGCAGCTGCAAAGAGGCGGGGCATGTGGTCGAGCGGGAACCGGTCCTGTCCCTCGCACCAGGAAATGGCCTCATCAAGGGTGACAAAGGAACCCTGGTCCTCGTCAAGCTCGTCCTCCACAACGCAGTCCCCCCACTCCCTGCGCGCGGGAGGCAGGTCCAGCGGCACATACTCTACCTAAAGTTCTTCCTCCTGGAAAGGACCCGGGCGAGCCACCGCAGAGCTAGCATACACGAAGCGGCGCTCTCTCTCCTCCCTGGGGAGAGCGAAGCACGCTGCGCAGCTAGCTTCGTCCTGGTAATGGCGGACCCCCAGGCACAGGAAACACAGGTCGTGCTGGTCCTTGCAGTAAAGCTTGACACGGCAGACTACGCAACTTCTTCGTCCGATGCCGGAGGGCGAAGGAGTCTTCGGACGAACAGGAGAAGGCAGCGACATCCTCAATCTTCAGACTTGAATGGTGAGTAGATCTCTCTATGGCACCAGAGTTCAAAGTGAGGGCTGTAGGCTGCAAAGGGCTATTTATAGGAGGGACTCGTCCGTGATTGGAGCATTGATTTCTCTCTGGCGGGAGGCTCGGGCCTCTAAGAGTCATATTAACTATCTCAGCCCTAAGGGGCGTTAGCACCATGATGTGGAATGTATGTTTTTCTTTTTGGTTTTTGTGTGCACTCACCCACATAAGACAACATTAGGCCAGTCAAACGATTACATTTTTTAATTTAAACAACTGGGGTGACAGTAGCTCAGTTGGTAGAGCACTGGTCTTTGGACCTATTGGCTTCTCAGAAATAAGGTCTTGGGTTTAAAGTGTCTAAGTGGAGTTTGCATGTTCTCCCTATGTCTGTGTAAGTTGGGCTCAGTGATCACCTCATGACCTGCTCTGATAACTGTGTGCGCAATGTTAAACAATCTATTTTATTTGTGGGTGTTTTGAGCAGTATTTTGACCCAAATAAAACTAAATAAATTGACACTTTGAACAATACAAATGTTAAAAGTTGTAAAACAATATTAATAACTTTGTATCAGTCCCTCATATTCACTTATTTATGCACCATACAAACTAATCCAACCATGCGTTTTTATAACATTTTTATTTATTTTTTGATGCTGTGTAAACTGCAGTGCTCTGCAGTGGTCCTTTGGGTTAGCACATTTCCAGTTGGGAGAGCGGTAAGTTTCACTCATAACTCTGTAACCCAATAACCCTCGAGTCCTCTTCAAGTTTTTGTCAAAGTCTGGAGCCACCTTGACCTGTTCAGTGTTTGAAGGGGCAGTCGCCTTCATTGGCAGAGGCTTGGTGCCTGGGATATTTTAGTTGTCCGAACATTTAAGCTAGCAACAAATGGCCAGTTATATCGACTGCTCAGCCGGTGTACCTGGCCTTTTATGCTAAAAGTCCTTCCTGCATCATATTTCCAATACTTCCAAACCTCTTTTGAAGGGGCAGTTACCTTCTTTGGCAAAGGCTGCGGTGTTGGCGCCTAGAACTTTGCCGCTGTCCAAACATGTGTTGCTTTCTCAATAGCTTTCAAGCCACTTTTGTCTATTGCATATTTTTCAAAGGCTTACAATAGTAGCGGAAGCTCATTTGAACAGTCAAATGTTAAGGAATTTACATTTGATCTGTTAGAGACTTGTCCGATGTGTCTCTTTCACGCACCGCTTCAGTCTCAGGGGTTGGTGGTAAACGGACTCTCCTTGTTCTCCTGAAGTTTATTGTCAGAGTCTGGAGTCTTGACCGTCTCAGTGTTTGGAGGGGCAGTCACGTTCATTAGCAGAGGCTTGGTGCCTGGGATATTTTAGCTGTCCAAACATTTGTTGCTTTCCACAAATGGCCAGTTATACCGACCACTCAGTCGGTGTACCTGACCTTTTATGCCAAATGTCCTTTCCTGCATTGTATTTACAATACTTCCAAACTGTTTCTGAAACAACAGCTGAACAGAGAGAATGTGCAGTTTTTGCAGCCAGCTCATGATTTGTCACATACGGTCTTGTCCACCCTTCTGGGAGATCATTTCTGATATTTTCTCTTTTTCAAGTTTTTTCCCATCTTGCTATTTTAAAAGATTGTTTTTCTCGGTGTGTGGTTTGAGTTTCCCTCTAACTCTTTGACTTTAGCACAAAGCCTATAGCTCTGTGCGAAAGTCACAATTATGTATCTCTCTAAGTTTAACATGTGCAGGTTCTGCTGATGGCATCGCAGTTTCAGACCGGAGATAGCGGTCCTTTATATAGCACATTTCCCGTTGGAAGAGCGGTAGGTGGCACTCATGTCCAGTCTGGACATGCCTGTTTTGTAAAACTCTAAAGTTCTTATGCAGGTCTCATCAAAATCATCCAATTCATCATCAGCCATTAGAGAATGACCAGTCACTTCCACTGCCTCGCTGGATGTTGACGGTCCCAAATGTTCCTCTAGTATTTCAAGCGAGGCTTTCCAATTTTCTATGTTTGTTAGACTTGTTGAATAAAATTCCAGAGGGGTTCTCCAGAATTTCTCACTTGCCTCCTCATCATCCCTCAATTCAGGCATTGACCTTGCGGAAGGACCTGTCTCCTGCGGAGGCTTTGGATCACATTTTCCCTCTGTGACCAGGCGGCTGGGAGTGGATACAGCTTGACTGTAACTTTTCTTGAAACAAGCAGATTGATTGGTTGGCTCAGAAACCTTTGAAGCATTTTCATATTTCCTGTTGTTTCTGTAAGCAGGGCGGGTCTGCTCAATAATCCTTGGGTCTTCTTGAGGTTTTTTGTCAAAGACTGGTGCCTCCTTGACCTGTTCAGTGTTAGAAAGGGCAGTCGTCTTCAGTGACAAAGGCTTTGGTGTTGGAGCCTGGAATTTTGTAGTTGTCTGAACATTTGTTGCTTTTTCATTAGCGTAATTTTTCAAAGGCCTACAAAAGTAATCGATATCTATCTCTTCATCTGGCATACTGGAGAAGAAGCGATCTATTGTTTTTATGGAACTTGTCTTTTTAGGTCTCACTGCAGGACCACTAAACTCCTCTGACTCATCCGGAATATCAGCATAGAAGTGGACGCTTGGTTTTGTTTCTTCAAGCCCAGAAATGGAAGGTTCCTGAGCGTTCTCGTCATTGGTCAGAGTCTCTTCTCTGCTTGGCTCCATTCGGATGAGAAGACTTTGTAACCGTACAGTTTCTTTTTTCCTCCGGTTTTTACCTTTAGGAGTTGGAATCTCACTCGAAGTGTCAACCACTTGAGTCTCAGGAACTGGTGATAAGGCCTGTGTTACTGGAGCCTCCTTGTTCTGCTGAGTCGGCCTTTTATACCAAATGTCCTTTCCTCCATCATTCTTACTCTCTTTTGTTTCAGAATCAGCTGGTTTTGCAGATTCAGAGTCAGAAATGGCAGCTTTTGCAGCCAGCTCATGATTTGTCACATATGGTCTGTCTACCATACTGGGAGATAATTTCTGGTTTCTTCTCTTTTTAGAGTTTTTTCCAATTTTGCTACTTTGAGGCCCACTCCAGAATTCCTCACTTGCCTCCTCATCATCCCTCAATTCAGGCATTGACCTTGCGGAAGGACCTGTCTCCTGCGGAGGCTTTGGATCACATTTTCCCTCTGTGACCAGGCGGCTGGGAGTGGATACAGCTTGACTGTAACTTTTCTTGAAACAAGCAGATTGATTGGTTGGCTCAGAAATTTTTGAAGCATTTTCATTTTCCCTGTTGTTTCTGTAAGCAGGGCGGGTCTGCTCAATAATCCTTGGGTCTTCTTGAGGTTTTTTGTCAAAGACTGGTGCCTCCTTGACCTGTTCAGTGTTAGAAAGGGCAGTCGTCTTCAGTGACAAAGGCTTTGGTGTTGGAGCCTGGAATTTTGTAGTTGTCTGAACATTTGTGGCTTTCTCATTAGAGTAATTTTTCAAAGGCCTACAAAAGTAATCGATATCTATCTCTTCATCTGGCATACTGGAGAAGAAGCGATCTATTGTTTTTATGGAACTTGTCTTTCTAGGCCCAGAAATGGAAGGTTCCTGAGCTTTCTTCTCATTGGTCAGAGTCTCTCCTCTGCTTGGCCCCATTCGGATGAGAAGACTTTGTAAACGTACAGTTTCTTTTTTCCTCCTGTTTTTACCTTTAGGAGTTGGAATCTC